TCCAGGCCCTTAATGAGGTTTGTGCTTTTTGCTGGCATGTACCCCCGCCTCGTCTACCTTACTCCATGGTACATAAAGCCTGGCTAGCTTTCGTTGGCCCCGGCTCGCCCCTCAAGTGAGGTTGCAGGAGCCGTTCGACCCAACAAATTCTGGCTACTGCGTCTGTGCAGCAGCGCAACTCAAAATTGTCTACCAGGAAATTCTTGGCGCTACCTGTATTTTTTCCAACTAACATGCATGCACAGGCTTCACTACTTCGAGCTGACGGTCTGGAGCCATGTGCGCCAGAGGGCGAACTTTTGATTTCCCAGCCTTCAGCCATTTGAATTTGCAGCTTCAGTGGACATTTGCTGCTTCTTGTAGCGACTGCTGTTGCACTGCATGCTGCAGCCGCTGTCTGTTGTCAGAAACACCACGTGTCATCGCGGAACATGATACAGCGGCATTAAGGATGTACTTTTTAGCGGCATTCTCACATAGGCTGTCAAGTTGTTTTTGGCTTCCACCTTCTCATCGTCACAGTAAGTCAGTTGAAGCGAGGTAAGACAATTAGTGAACATAATCGGCCGAGCCATGGACGAGCAAGATGATCACTATGCAGTTCTTGGGCTGTCGCAGCAAGCCAGTGATGCAGATATCCGTCAGGCTTACAAAAAGGCGCACACATGCTCTTGCTCCAAGCGCGAGCATTTGAGTATTCCAATCTCAGTACAATTACCAGCAGGCAGCATTGCGCTGGCATCCGGACAAGAACCCCCAGGCAGCACAATTAAAGATTCTGATGCGCTCCCGTGCTCTCCACATGGTCAAGATCTTGGAGCTGCCAGGCCAAAGCTTTGGCCGAATCGAACTTCAAGCGGATTGCCGCAGCTTACAAGGTGGAGCCTGCGTAGTCTCTGCCTGCTTTCTGTCCTGAGGTGAAAGCCTTGTGCCTCTCAGGTGCTGAGCGATTCTGCGAGGAGAAGAGCTTACAACGAGTCATTGCCCACCAAAGCCGACGGACAAAGCGCCGCAGCACTCGTTTACCATTGCATTGGTGCACGTTGATCAGATTTTCATTTGACTGCTTTGTGAAACGCAAGATGACTGCGCAGCGGAATCTCTTACTATGACATCTTGCTTGCCCTAGCTTGCCTTGCGCGCTGCCAGGGCAAACATCGGCGAAAGGGCGCGCAAAGCCTAGCAATGTCCGGGTTCCACCCAAACGGCCGGGCCCTGTCATTTCGATGAGCACGGATACCTTTTCAGCAGGGAGTCACTGGCTTGCCAGCCAAGGCCGGAGCCTGCTGTCGATCTGCAGGACGCCTTCAATCTCTTTCAGGAGTTCTTTGGTCACGATCCTTTCAAGGCAGGATCCCTCCACCTGCATAGACAGCTCAGTTTGAAAGCACTCATCAAAGGTTATGTGCAAGCGTGACTCCTTAATCCCTACTTTTCGATAGCAAAGGCACCTCTAGCCAAAAAAAACAAGTAAGGCAAAAATACCAAATCCACGGTACAGTAAACAATGATCCTAAATCGAAAAATCAAGAATGCTGCTCTTCAAAGCAGTACAGTAACAGCAAAAGTTTAACTTAGAGAAGCGGGAGGAAGAAGAAGGGGGGTTTTCCATATTCAAGATGTAGAGAGGTCAGAGATCCTCTCATGCAAGGTCCGTAAAGGGTAGCTCAGGAAGCAATGTTTGAGCCTTTGATTCCTGCTGAGTTTAGCAGCTCTTGCGCAGAAGCTCTTATGCGCTCAGGATTTTGATCAAATTTTTGCTGGCGCTGGGTTGCAGGACCAAGAAGAGTGTGGGAGCTAGCCCATAGACCCTATCAAAGATGCTTCCGAACTGCGAGGACGGGGTCTTTCTTTCGTCTGGCCACGGGTTCTCCGCTTGCATTCAGTCATCATCCAGGCAAGCCTCAGGCAGCTTTTATCATGTGAGCAGCATGCGCGACTTCATGATTGCAGGGTCTCTGAGACCTTGCGACAGCCTGGGCCAGTGTCAGGACCTCAGCAGTATATGGCAGCGGCAAGTATGGTTCGAAATCGCACTTATGTATGCAGGCCTGCAGCTGCTCCTCCTGCAGCATCACAAGGCTATCAGCCTACTTGCTGTTATCAAGCTCGCACGTCTGCTGATGAACTGACAGAGTTGCTAGCGCATGCATTTTCAGAGTTAATGAGAATGACTATGTAACATTTTGGCCACCTGGTGCCCTTTTCATTGAGCGCTCCAAGCTAATATGCCCGCAATCTGAATGGTGGGTTATTGGCTGGGGTTGAGATTGCAAATTATTGCTTGTTTGACTGCAGTGTGATGTCGAAGACACCGCAGCCAAAATGCCGGATCATGTTCTGAACACAAGCCATCAAGTTGAGCAATAATGTTCGCTTCCTGTTCAGTGAAGGAAGCTGTGCACCTGATGGGAGCCGAGACTGTGGACTGCTGCGGTGCGTAAGTCAACAGGCACGGCATATGTCGGAGCATGGGGGATGCCTTGGATCTTTCCGCCATGTTTCTTGGAGCCTGTCAGGGCGTGGCGTACCGCAGGCTAGGTCGCCATGGCCCTTTGATCGCCTAGCATGCGCTGCGCGATTCATGCTGTGCTTCTATGGTGTTGGACAGGTCCCCGAATTTGCTGGATCGTGAGTGCTCTTTGCTCCGAATATGGAAGTCAACTTTGTGCACATTTGTGCACTACACTTGACAGTTGCCTGATTGCGGCACTGTTTGCAGTTTCGTAACATCCCAGGCAGTTATGCCGGCCCGTCCTACGATGATATCGTTCCTATGGAGAGCATACAAGGCATCACCTTCCAGAATGGCTTCGCTTGTGTTTCGACAATCTCTGCCTTGCAGGTCAGTGGGCGAGATGTGCAAAGGGCTGGCTCCCTTTGTGCTTGGATGGCCGGAACGTTTTCGAGGCAACGCAGTGCTCGCTGATTGTTTGTAACAGTGCTTGTTGCAGCAAGGTGGTGGAGGGTACTCTGCGAGCACGCTGTGTCTCCTCTCAGGAAGGTATGTTGTGCAGACCATGTCAGACACTTTCTGCGCTGTGCGTATTTCAGGGTGTGGCCTACAGAAGAACTGCGAACCTGGAGGCCGAGTGAATGGGTGTTGCGAGGGCACCTTTCAGCAACGCCCCAGTGCCTTGCTCAGGACCGCGAGATGACAGTGATGGGGCCGATCTTCCAAGAAGTTGTGGATGTCACGGACAGAATGCATGTCTTGGAGGGCTCAAACTTCGTTGACTGGCTGTTGTGATTAGCTCTGCAGGAGCGGCTTGGCAACTGGATTCGATGCGCGAATGGCTGGCTGCCTTTGTCCATAGGCGCGAAGGGCATGTAGGGCACTGGCCACTGCCTAGAGCTTCTCCATTTCGATATAGCTGTCTCAGGCGGGCAGCCGGTCTTCGAGCTGTTTGCAGAAGCCAAGCAGAGACCACATCAGGTTCGCAGGGCAGCATTTCGTTTCTTCCCTGGAAGTCCGGCTTCATGCCCCATGTCAGGTGCAAGCGGAAGACGCAGGTTCGCATTTGGGCAAAACGCTGTGGCCCTTCGGAGGAGCGAGATCTGCCCCAATCAGTTTTCCTTGATTTGCTCCGCAGCAACCTCTTGTGAGGACTTGCAGATACCTGGACGTGGTTTCTAGTGTGATGCTGAGAAAGCTTTATCATGGCACCTTTTCCACAGGTCACCCTTGTGCTCACGTCAAAAACGTCGGGAGCATCTGCCATCAGGTGCGGACCTCTTGTCGTTGGGGTTTCAGCTTTGCAACCAGCCGTTTGGTCGCATTTGGTGGGCTTCACGACTCATTCCGAAAGCTGTCTGAATCAGCTTGAGGCTCTCCGAAACTGACGCTGAGCCTGGTTGTCCTGTCCGGCATCTCACTTTCAGTATCGGCGTTCATGGCAAGGACAGATATTATCCAGACTCGTACAACAATGCGTGCATGGCGTCGCAAGCATCATTCTGAATGTGATAGACCTGTGGTGAGGATAATGTTTCGTGCATGGTGGTACTCGCTCCCATCTCTCCGCTGAGCTCCGTGCAGTTGGTCATCCTCCGATGATGCGTTCGGTGGCTTCAGTGAATATTGGTGCTGGATGGCCGACATCCACCAAGACATGCGCTGTCAAGACTGCCAAGACTTTGCAACGTTGACAGCTGGTGAGCTCGGGTATCGAAGGACAGAAGGGGTCTCCGACGTCACGATCCGCAACGTCCCGCTTGTATCGACATTCACATGCCGAAGCTCAAGTGCCAATGATATTGGTACAGTAACGACTTGAAAACGTAGACTTCGTGCTCCTCTTGAGCGCCACAACAAATGTGGCCTATTGCCTTTTGCGTACTCTTGCTTGTATGGCGTGCCGTGCATGTAATCATGTTTCGATCTTGCGACGCCGTTGCTGGACCGCAGGTATTCTCATATGTTGTTGGGCAGCCGGCCTTGAGGTGGGGAAGCGGACAAGGTTTACAGTAATGGTAATTTATAGAATGCCTTGAGCTGCCAGGAATAATTTGGCCGCATTTGTGGCAGCTGCGGCAGCCGCATCACTAGCTGCAGCGACAGTCACATATGCTCGATCCCAACCTTCGGCAGTTTTGGTCAGACGCATGTGGTGAGTGTTGAGCTTCTGAGGCCTTCAGTGCTGGCTTTCAAGTGGAACTTTTGCAAGCGGCTGATGCCCTAGACCATTGCCAGAAGCCGCAATGAGCAAGATTTGTGATTGCTTAAGCCTGGAGGTTGCTGGTTGCGGTGTGGCATGGGCTTTCGCCAGGCAAGCTAACGTGCTCAGAGCCAGCGGGCACCCTCTGGTTTGGTGTTGTCAGGCTGTCTACACACTTGGGTACCCAAGCTTGGCTGATGCCAGGTTGGGGCATTGGAAATCAGTGTATTGTCTCAGCAAGGAAGACAGGGAACGCAGAGTAGGCTCAGGATCCCATGCTTCTGGCGCCGCACGAAGCTGATATGTGCCCTGAGAGCTAACTTGACTCTGACTTGGTAGGTCTAGCGGCCACAGGTTTTGCGGCGGGCTTCCTTGCCGCCGCATTCTTACAGTCACTTTGGACGACTGTGGACGCCAAATGCGCTGAATCGCCTCTAGATGCAGGCTCCACCCATCACCCTGCAACTTTTTCCAGTCCGAGAACTTTGCGAAGCTTTCCTTGCGAGTGCCTCATAAGCTGGTGGGTCCGAGCAGCACTTGCCTCTTGAGCAGCGATAATTTCTGAGCAGAGACTGGAAGCATCACGTGGTCAAAGGCGGCCGAACCCTTCTTGCCGCCAGGGGAGCTGCGCCGAAACCTGTGCATGATGTTTCAGCTGTGCCTTTTTGAACATTTGCCTCACAGTGGTGGCATGCCCAAGGCAGGGCTTCTGCTGAGCTGCTTGTGACGACCATCCAGGGGCAGGTCCTGGGCTGGACTGTTTTGCATCAATCGCTTCGCTCAGGAACCAGATGCATGCGCATTGTGAAGCACACTCAGAAGAAGTCTACAAAATCGCCTTGCTGACAGCTTCAGGCCACCCCAAGGCTCTTGCTTTCTGACAGGTGGCTCTTGGTTATGTCGGCGTCGACGTGCTTCGAAAGTCGCAGGCCTTGCATGATGTCTGCTCACAGGCTTCAATCAATCAATCAATCAATCAATCAATCAATCTGTTAGCAAATGGAGACAGCGGTGGTGTTGTTGTTCGGTCCACAATTCCAAAGGTGTCAGCAACCTTACATGGGGCTGTGGGAGAGGCACGCAAAAACGTCCTGTTGACGGTCGACAGAAGTCGTGCGGACGTGTCCGGCCTCAGTCAACCTGGAAGAGCACTTGAACGTCTGTCATAGGAACATAGACTTGTTTGGTCGGTTGAATCTGGATGGCATGTGCCAAGGGCGAGAGAACGCCATGCAGCACATTCTTCACACATGCCTGAAACCAAGTGGATAAAGACAAGCGGGTGAGATCTTATGATATGAAGTCCTATGGCTGGACGGTAGCCAGCCCTGGAACAACTTGAGGCTGTTCAGTTTATGATCTTTGTTGCGCTCCCATATCTGCCGGCGTCTTAGCTGTAGAGCCTCCAGGTCCTCGGCATTTTTGCCTGGAATTACGGGGGGTCCCATAGCCGAGACCCACACCCGCCTGTGCGGAATGTTCACACAGAAGCCCTTGAAACGAATCGCGCTCTGCAAGCCTGGTCTGGTTTTGACACATGCTTGCAGCAAGACGTGGAAATAGCCCTGACATGAGGCAGGTGAAAGCCACAGCTATCCCTGAATTAGGCTTCAGCGAATTCTGATGGAGAATGTGAGCGACTTTACGTTTGGGCGCTTTGTCAACATGGTGGAGACAGGAGTGCGGATTGGGCTTCCTGCCTGTTTTCTCCAAAATTACAGTGATTACTGCAATTTTTGAGAAGGACTCCGCATTGACAGCCTCTTTCCTGCAGCCTTGACCTTGAGCATGGATACCCATGACGACATCACATCCAACTCAAAGAATGTGCCCGCAATTTCAGGCTGAAGCGGCAGATAAGACCGGGATGCGCACCAGCCTGTCCTCAACTTATGTGACCGCAAAAGAAGAGCATTGCGAAGTGGCTGACATTTGCTTTGCAAGATAAGGCTGTCTGCTGTGGCCTCCTCGAACCTTACAGTGGGGCCTCAAGATACCTGCTCGTGGGAGCATTTTTGTGCAAGGTAGAATACACTACCTTTGGAAAGAGCTACGTAGTTGCTTCGACAGCAGATTGACCAGTGATCTTGAGCCAGTCAACTGCGAGCGGGGCCCCTTGCACGTTTCCAAGGTGGATGCATATGCGAATGAAATCGGCAGCATTGTTCGAAGTGCTGTGCTGAGCTGTTTTGCCGAGCAGTCGGCCCAAGCTTCAAACAGCAACGTGGCTGTACAGCTGGTTATGGCATCATCGACCGCGCGCTCTTCTCTGTGCCGAAGTTGGCGCTCTTGCCGGGAATATTGGTCAGCCGAGTCCTCATTGAGCCACGTCGCAAACTGCCAGTTCAAGTGCTGCGGGACTTAGTTAGAGGGCAGCTGGACCTCCTGCGTAGCTTCTGGTTGCTACGTCTCGGGTGGGGGACAAGCTTCGACATGCCAGGTCAGCCATGGCTTCTCATGCTAGTTCTACCTGGGAACATTGGCACCTTGTCTTGCAAGGTGAATCATGCTTGAAGCTGCGCACCTTGTGCAGCAAAGGACTGGACTTCATCCGGGCCAAGGCCATGGCACATCTCACAAGCCAGATCCTTTATTTGCGCGCGCGCTGTCTTCGTATATGTCGGTGCAACTGCAAGGCCGAATCGAGAAGCTGGGCCGTGACATCCAGGAGCTTGCCTCCAGACGCGGTAACATGGAGCGTTTGCCTTGGATTCACGTTGGAGTTGCTCCGAAGCACGCTATCCTAATACTCGCACTATCCTACAGGCAGCACGACACGCAGCATGCGGAGGTGCTCCAGCGAGCCTTGCGCCCACTTGACACCAGAGTCTACGGCAAAGCTTATCTTCATGTGCAAGAGTGTTGGAGGTCGGTGCCTCTCATTTTGCAAAGGCTGGTTCATATGTTGAGTGCTTCTGTTTTGAGTGTGAGAGGCCGCCCGGTTTAGCACAGGCGCAGTGGCGGTTGATTGCCTCACGGCTCCAACACATGTTCTTAAGGCAGCAGGCCGTGCGCTCAAACTCGTAGGAAGATTTGTAGCGGTCCAAGGCCACGCCCCATGAAAGACCTGTGCCAGCTTGCCGAGGCATTGCGTCTAGTTCGCGGTTTTATTGACAATCTGTACATCCAGGAGTGGGGAATGGACCTGTGCGTGATTGCTTGTCGTGGAGCGCCGCGCGTCAATGATGCCGCCACGCATAGGACTTTGTGGCTCCTGGCATAGAATGTGCCATTGCATACCTTCTACAGCTCGGAACTGATACATGCTGCTTTTCGAGATGCATGACATCCTGGTCCCGACTGTCCCGACTCAGGTTCAATCAGATCACAGCGGTGGACATTTGGTTGTACACACGCGTTGTTGAGGTGCACATGCCAAATTCAGAATGCCGGGGCATGTCAGGACTACGTAAGCCCAAGCAGAAGCAACAACAAGAGACATGAAATTGGAACGCACTCTTCCGAGGAACCTAGGCAGTATATGGGCTTTCCGCACGGCTCCATATGCAGGATGCCCAGAATACTCTGCTGGTTCGATACAGAAAGGAGGCATCCGCGGAAGCTCATAGCACAACATGGCACCAAATGTTGACTTGCAGGCCTCATTGGCGAATTTGAGGACCAACGTGGGGCGATTGCAGGCGGGGAGACTCCCAAACTGAAGTTGTTATTAGCTAGCCCGATGAGCGGCTTGCGGACACATGTGGGATTTCTTTTTGCCGCGAGGCCTTGGCAAGCAGCCTGTCGAATCGCACAAGACTGCGGTGCAAGGCTGCCTTGCTTGGTGCATTTGCTGCATGATCTCATCTTAAGCCTGTCCAAACAGTAGTAATCAAGGTGGCTGACACGCAAGTGATGCAGGCCTGTCCCTTTGCATTTGACTTTTGAGAAGAACGCAGTTCGTGACGGTAGGCAGTGCCTACGCAAATACAGTGCTCCAGGTTCACAACCTGAGCTACAGCCGCGGTTCTCAACTGCAGGCGGGTGTGCAGCAGCAAGTTCAACATGCTTAAGCTCAGTGAACTCGACCCCATCAGAAGGTGAAGCTCGAAGGCATCTCGCTCGAGGCGAGCTAGGCCTCGCGGCTTGCGATGTTGGCACGAGTCTGTCGAGCGTTCAGGCTGGAAAAGTCTATGCTGTCACAGGCCTGTGCCTGGCAGATTCGGTTGAGATTCCTGTTTTTGAAAGCACTGGAGAATTGCTGTCCCGATGCAAGCTTTGAGCCGGCTTTACTTGCGAGCAGATGCAAGCAGGCATCTTTATCCCTAGCACAGCCAGAGACATATAGGACATGCGCGGCCAATTGGAGACTCGCCAAAGACTGCGAAGCAATGGCACGTGTTCGCCTGACTTTCCGACTCGGTTAATGACTGGATCACAACTGGCATAACTGGTGGATGGTGTCTATTTGGACATGCAGAACATGCAGAAGCGTGCGACCAGGCCTTGCAGTGGAGGTTTGAGCCCTTTTCCATTTCTGAAATTCTCTGCACTTGTTGCAGGCTTCACGGCTACCCGCCGCTTGCCCTTCTCCCTCAGCTTTCGCTGTACATCCTCCAAGGCTAGCGAAGATGCCAGGCCAGGGAAAAGCATGCATCCATGTGGGGTCAAAGTCCCTGATGTCCTCGTCCCAGCAGGCAACTGGTTGCAGTGCCGGAGGAGCGATTCCATGAGCTTGTGGCCGCGGAAGTGTCGTTCCTTGCAACAGTGCCCGTGAAGCCTGTCAGCATGCGCCAGGTGCAAGTCTGCAAGCCTGTGGTCATTTGTGGAGAATGGGATACCAAAAGTCAGCTGTAGCCGATGGCTAGGTTGGCCTTGCAAAGATTGATTGTGATCGTCAGATGTTGTGCTTCGAGAAAATTGTGTTGTGCTAGGCAGTAGGGCTGGCGGGCAAGTTGCATCATTTTTTTGGCCATGCTTTGTCAAGAGAGGTGATGAGCTGGTGCAATGCTGGGGACATGGTGCCCTTCATTCAGACTGAGATTCCAAAGCGGTTTGCGCTTCGGATACGGTTGATTGAGACCCTGGACGGATGGCAGGCTTTGGACTTTGCATTGCTTTCGTTTGCTTGTGAAGCTGCTCAAAACAGCAGCCGACCTGGAGGACATCCCTGAGCTGGCAAAGCTCCATCGAAGATTGACGAGGTGGTACCGGGAATTGGTGTTGCTGAACTACAGCACTCAGGACTGCGGCCACCTCATAAAGACGCTCAAATCAATACGAGACGAAGGAAGAGATGTCATTGGGGTCTCAGCGTCCGGCATCTACCAGCTGCATAAGTCGAAGCAGCGAGACACTAAGTTCCTTGATCGGTGGCTGGACGGCTTTCTGCTTTCCAGGAGCTTTGACTAATGGCTGGGCATGCTTGTGATCAGTGTAGCAGAGTGCTTAAGCTATTTGCGAGCTGCTGTGACATGTCCACAGGATTGGGACGAATGCCTTGTTCGACCAGTTCGTGGCCATCGCGCGAAAAGAGGATGGAGGTTTGGGCCGTCCTAGCGGCATCATAGACCCCCGCACGGAGCTGAGTTGCCCAGCAAATGCTGCTTCAGCAGGCAGTGCAGCCACTTGCCTTATGAGGCTGCAATGCCTCCAAAGTCTGTGAGCATGCTGCGCAACTGTCCGCCTACCTCTGCTACCAACGCTTCGGCCATGAGCCCAAGTACATCGTGGAAGACTTCAAGGCCATGACCTCAGACCCTCAGACCCTCCTGATAGATCTGATAAAGGTTTTTTGACCTTCGGCTCAGGCTGGCCTGACGGGGCCGCAAGCTGAGTCTCCTTGTCACTTCACCTACATCCCCAGCTATTTGAGATACATCATGTGCGAGCTTCTGAAGAACAGCTTCCGAGCCACGCTCATGACATCTGCCGTTGAAGACCTTAGCAAGCGTCCTGTTCGCATTCGAGTCTGCCGCGACGAGCATCGGGTTGCCATCCTAGTTAGTGACGAGGCAGGTGGAATTCCCTTTGAAGTTGGTGATCGCATCTGGTCATACATGTATGGGACCGCTGCCAAACAAGGCAGTGAGAGCCCGAACTCGGCAGAAGATTTGCTGTCTGGCTATGGAGTTGGGCTCCCTTGTGCCCGACTGTATGCTAGGTATCTTGGTGGAACTCTTTCACTGACGTCTTATCCAGGATATGGAACGCAAGCACACTTACTTTTGCCCCGGATTGACTCGGAGCAAGTTGAGGAGTTGCCGGAATGTAGCTTTCACGATCCCATCTAGTGGAGAAACAGCGCCTGTGCAACTGTTTCAATGACAGTTGCGCTAAATGAGACCTGCCAGTCGGAACCCGTTTTGCTGTCCAGCGCCAGTGTTGGCTCGCCATGTTCTAGGGACCTCTTCACATCCCATTGATGGCTTTTCCATGTAAATTGTAAAGTGTCCACACTATCCAGGGTCTCATTTGGGGTTGCTGGCCATGCAGCCGAGAGTAGGGAGGCTTGGACACAACTCAGCACTTATATTGGGCGGTGAAGGGGATTTTGGGGAGTAGAAGGTGGGACAAAAGTCACACGCCCAGCCGTTTTGCTCTGGCAACCAGGGTTGAGGGTTTTCCTTTCAACCCGGGTCCGTAATCCTACGCAGCACAGATGCTTGAGTTACTTGAGACTGCTACCTGCAGGGTGCAACGGTTGCGGCAAGAGCACCTTCTTCGGACTGCTGTGTGCCTGTGGTGGGCACCCAAAATTGCAAGTGCTGGCAGCATGCATACGGAGTGTCTGTCTGCCAAACGACTGCCTGTCGTGTTAGGCAGGCATCAACCAGAGCCTCCTGCCGGAATTGAGCAGCTACACTTCGCGGCATCCTCAGCTTCGTTTGCAGTCAGCTCACACCTACTACCAAGTCAAGAGAACACCAGCTCTGCCATTGAAATGCAGAATCAAAGAAAGGTCTTTGACCCATCCCAAATGCTCAGGATCAACCTACTTGACTGAAAAGTTGTTAGGCCAGCAAAACTGCCTGACAAGACAAGCCCTGCTGCTGCCCAAGAATTATTGGCATCAGCCCAGATATTGCCAGCTGGCCATGAGCCTGAAGAAAGCTCCCTTCAAGAGGGCTTCCCTTCCCATTGAAGCCACTGAGGATGCTAGCTCCTCCCTCGGCATGACGCTGCCATCGGACTGAGTTTTAAGTCTTATCTACTGATGCTTCAGCTGAGCACACGGTATGCAACAGTTTCTGTCTGAAAGGACGAAATTGTCGAGATACCTCAGAAGCTGTATTGTTGGGAGCACAGGAAGGTTCACGCTACGGCTCGTCATGGTGCGGTCTTGACGGATAAGGCCCCTTGTTCACAGAGCCCTTGGCATGGATGTCTGGGCACTTTCCTCAGCTGCATTTGCTGTTGCATGCGAGGTTTCACCATACAGGAAGCATTTCGTGTGGTCCAGGCGCCATTCGCTGAAGGACGTGAAGGCGGAGGCAACTCGTTGAGAGGGCCTGCGAGGTTTATGGGTTCATTGTCATGCTTACACAGTTGGCGTGAAGGATGCAGCGGGTCTTGAAGCCCGAGCTTTACCCTCAGGATCAGAGGCACGAGGGCAAGTTAGGACTTGATCAGCGCCAGGTTCTGGACTTCCTTGCTGAGCTCGACTTTCGACCCTCTGCTGGCTGCTCGGTGCTTTTTCGCAAACCGCTGTTTCTGATGGAGCGCGGATGGTCTCTATCGTTAAGGCACCTGCCGCCGCTGAGAGCCCGGCTTTGGACCTCCGAGCGCAGAGCCGAGCATGTGGCACCATCCAGAGATGGAGCATGATGGAGCGAATGATCAGACACTCGAGGCAGTAAAGGATGACTGGTATGGGAAGCTGTCTGGTGGTCAGCGGTCGAAGGCTTCCCTCTCAATGAGCGGCACGGAACTCTGATGGCTGAGCCATCATTTGGAGTTCAGGCCGAGCTTGTCAGACAAATCTTTCTTCATCAAGCGTGCCCTCGAATTCTTCTGATAGATGAGGCAGGGATTCGTTCTGGCTTGCATGAGACATGCCTCGAGCTGGCAGGCTTTGGGGCCGCTGGATGCACAGTCCAAAAACCTGGTGCAGACGAAGCTGAAGGCCTCACCTCATGGCGCGGCTTCATGCTTGATTTAGGAACTTCAGGGTTCAAAGTCAAGTCTCGAATTTGGCACGATGCAGGCTAGACTTGTCAAGACGACATTGCTCCGGCTGAATATCAGATGCGATGCCGCCATAGCATAGCCCAACATAGACCTTTGAGGCCTTCTGCAGCCAATCACTCATACTGGCCGCAACCTTGGACGTGGAAACAACATGAAACAATTATCTGCATGATGTCCAGGCACTCTATTGATCTGCCTTCAGTGTGTTATGCGTATCAGGCAATTCACCACCTTGATGCTCATAGCCACTGTGTGGCCTCGATCTCAGCTAGGGGGAGTCTCTGGCTTGAAGTAACCAGCATGTGCAAGCGTAGAATTGTGCACATGGACCGACTTTGCACAACTGGCCGCGTGTCACCTTCTAGTATGTTTTGCACCCAAAGTTATGACCGGGCAAGTTGAAGCTGGCTTGCAGGAAGCGTCTCAAAATGCCTGAATGATGTGTTGGACTTCAAGGTACCGGGCGGCTTCTTCGATGTTACACCGACTCGTGTTTTGCTGTTGTATTTTTTTGTTTCGCACGGTTCTTGTTCCTGCACAATGCCAGGAAAATCTGCACTTCGAGCAGGGGAAAGCTTCTTTAGTGGACATGTGCAAGGCACACGCATCGCTCCTTTCTAGCTACATATGAGCCATTGAGCGCAAACCTCTGAGCCATGGAGGACTCCTTTGAAAGTTGACGTAGAAGGCAATCGGCTGACCTCCCAGGACACGCTTCGGTGAAGTTTTTCACAGTTCTGGTGCGGGTGACCGAATCTAAAAGGGCAATTGCAAATGACAACTGATGTGCTCGCATCTCTGCGGACTCAGGACTGCCAAGCAACAAAGAGATGGACGCTCTGCGGTTGAGTGCGACAAGTCGCGACGAAGTGACATGGATGCTCAGTGAAGTTGCAGTTGGTGGACAAGAACTGCCTGCTGTGGTAGCGTGGTGTGATCAAGATCCCTCGGGCCTGCAAAGGGTCTCGGTGCGGCAAGTTCAGGTGCCAGGAAGGCAACAGCCTTGACAACGATTGCAAGGACTCACGAAGGTTCCCTCCCAGTGGACCGTGCACTTCTCATAGCAATGGGGCATTGCCGCTCCAGATTGCAAGCACTCTCGAACTGCCTTTGGTTGAAACCACTGTGCGTTGCTTGCCGGATGCAAGGAAGGGCATGATCATAGTCACTCGTGATTCGAATTCATCCGGCTATGACACTCACGGCCCAAGTCTCATGATGGGATGGAGCAACTAGCATCTGCCACTTGCCCTACATGTCTTCGTTCGACTGGGTGGAGTCTCTTAGCTGCAGTCACGAGCTGCTGGCTTTCAGCTATATTGCAACTCCATCAAGCACCCCAGGTCAATGGCATGTGCCTTGCTGGAGGAAGAGCAGGACCAAGTGGACCATCATGTGTTGGAGGAGTTTGAGGGAGAAGCAGAAGTACCCGAAATGCAGGCACCCGGCCGGGTGTTGCTGTTTCATCGGATTTCAGATTTCTGTTGGGGGCTTTGAGGTGCCAGTAACGACCTGGGACCCGTGGAGCTCAAGGCGCGACTGAGGTGTTGGCGACATGCAAGGATGAAGTAGTCAGCGCCAGTGTCCACACTGCAGACTTGTGGGTTTGATGGAGAGCCGCTCGCCTGGAGCTTAGATCGACCCAAACTTTGCAATCTGAGAATTGACGGGCAAAGCGATGCGTCCGCCTCTAGGTACAAAATGGAAAACGCCATGTGGGAGAGGTCGGAGAAGAAGGCTGGTGCGTGGAGCTAGGTGTTGCAGTGACAAGCGCGCAAGTTGCTGAACTTTTTGTTCGCCCTGTCACGTCTGAGCTGCAACCTCTTTTCTGCGCTTGCCAATCGCCCTTGAAGGCCCACAGTCAAGGATCAAAACGTGCTGCGTCAATTCGAGCCCTGTGTCCCCTCAAAGAACAAAACAGAGCAAGTCACGCAATCGCTCGGCAAACCTTCATTTTGGCTGGTGGGGCAAAACTACTTGGTCGCATCTATCACACATGAAGGAGTTCACCTTCCTGACAATCCAGTCTCCTCACAAGATGAGTTACACGTCGATCCAAACCGACCCCCTACATTTTGCAAGAAGCGGTGGGAAGCCCTGTTGGGCCCCTTGCTAGGCACGCACTGTTCAGCCTGTCGACCGGGCATGGCCACTTGTGAGCACGCAATATTGCAACACATGAGGCGATCAACACACAACCTTCGCTTGCAGTCACAACGCGCTCAAAAGAACCTCCACCCTAAACAAGGCAGCGCTCTAGATCCCACTTTGCTGCACATGCGCGTGCATCCCGTGTGGCCCGCAGAGGTGACCCGTTCGAGATTTGGATGCATCTTCTGAGAAGATGCCTGCAGATTTACTACGGCACTGCCACGGGGCTGTAGTATGTTACTTGTCTCCAGATCTTCCCTGCCCCTATGCGTCCCCGGCCTTTTTTAAGGCTTTTTTACTCGTCAGCCAGCAGTTGTAGAGCAAGGCACTTATGCAAGGCATCCATGAAGTATATGGATTAGACGGGTGCTTCCGCTCACTGAGATATGAATGAGCTCTGTGTGTTGTGTGGTTTCCACCTGACGGATCTGAACGCAGATGACCGCCACGACAAAGTTCAATGTGTCGGGCTTCGTTTGGCTTGCTCGTCCGTTGAAACGCGGAGCAGTTGCTGACAAGTGACGTGGTGTGCCGTCTGCATCTCAAGCTGGACATGGCAAGAGACGTAGTGCAGCCCACTCGTCATCATCACGCTCAGCATGAGTCAGCCTCACACTTCCACAACAAGCAGAAGCCGTTGCGACTGGTTGATAGAGCGGCTCATAGAGCAGGAAGCTTAAAAAGAACGCTTGCAACCTCCCCATGATAAGTACAGGGTGAATGTGCCTTGTCATTTCGTAAAATGCCGGAGGCTTACATGAATTGCGTTTATTAACCTGACTGCTTTGCAGTAGCCCAAGGCGCCGGCGTCATGGAGGACCATCTGCTGATGTCGACGGACGTCCAGCATCGGCCCTCGGCTTGTTGCACGGTTCTCTGAGAGGCCTCACGTAATGCAAATGCAGCAAGGCATTGGAGCTCGTGACCAGCAGGCCCCAAAAGCCATGAACTTGTTATGATGTGGAACTTGCAGCAAAGACTCTGCTGCAGGTCGCTCGATGGTCTGATCGAACACGGCTTGCTGGAACGGGTTTGTGAGATGCTGCCAGCACTGGAGGCACATGGGCAAATCCCTGCGTAGCGTTCTGAGGGTGAACAGCCGTTACAGGTTGGACGGGCGACTTTTGCTAGCAGAAACATGCAGGCCGACGAAGCATTGGCTTAATCAGACTGTGTTTGAGTAATGCGCGAGGCTTTCGCCAAGGAGGCTGGAGATCGCTAGACCATCGTGCTGACAGATTCGTAGCGGTCATGTGGTCGAGAGATATGAACTTAGGCAAGGCCATCTGCTTAAGAGAGGTGCTTCCTCGTTTGTTGGCAGTGCGATGTCGGCCTGGGTGGAGATCTCAAACATTGTTTGCTTCTGCAGCTGTGTTGCTGGTTGGTAGGTAAGATGTCAGTGCTTCACTCCTTACAAGGTTGCAGCTCCAGACAGCGTCTGCCAGCGAGGACTTGTGATGGTTGCTAAGGTCGTGTCATATCTTGAAGTGCGTTTGCAGCCTGTGCTTGCAGGCGGCTGTTTTCTTTGACTGGATGAGGGACACACGGCAGTGGCACGCCGGACCCAACACCTCGCAAGATGCTCAGACCTCTTAGACCTTCTCCGCCGTACTCGGGTGCACGAAAACCTGCAACATCTTGTAACCTTGCAGGAAACCCTACAACGTCGCCAAAGAAGGCTTTGCACATTGCTAAGTGCATATGATGTAACCTGCAGATCACCAATTTGTAGGCTGCGTGACGGGAGATGGTGGTGCTTGGCGCGCCGCACAGCTTGCGCAGTCATCTCTATTGTGTTTGCTGGTGGACCTGAGAGTAGCTGCTGATGAAATCACAGCAGCATGTGCTGAGGATCTTTTTGGAGCAGGGCACTGATTGGTTGGGGCTGCTTCCCCAGACCTTGACACCAGTGAGTATAGATCAGGAAGTTTCTGGCAAGCTCCCGCGCGAGGTTCCAGGGCTTGTACTGCAATTTCGCAAGCCCTCGACGCAAGCCCAGATGGGTGCGCCACACAGTCTGTAGATGGTCAAAGTTTTGGGTCATGAGTGCTTGTGCAAGATGCATGCATGGTAGGTGTCCTTCCGTCTGTGCTTGCGAACGCTTGAGTTTTCTTGTGGCTTCTTTGCGCTGTCGGACTCCCAGGAATGGCTTTCCTGGAGTGCCGGCTTGAATCGAAGCATCTTGTCAATCTCTCGTCAGGTCTGCTGACAGGCGGACTTGGGGCTTGCAGCCCTTGATATTCATCTTCAACTACAGGGGAGATGACATGCAAACTGCGCATCCGGCATGTGTTCAGAAGTCAATATGTTGTAGCAGAATTCAACATTTGTCCTGAGCCTTTCCTCGTAGTGCTTCTGAAGCCTACTGTGTTCGGAACAACCCCTTCACCAAGTAGCAGTCGAAGCAGCATCACTGACATATTCATTAGGTCCTGATAGCTGGGTAACAATCTGTTGAACTGCCTTCCCTGGAGCTGCTGTAGCGTTCATAAACACACATGAAAGGGTAAAGTTACGAGACATGCGGCAACTTCGGGTGTTGGGGGCACGTGCTTTCTCCGTTCTGGATTATTGGTCAGGCATCCCCACCACCACATACTTTGTACTCATGCTGGTCCATCGAGTCTGCAATCTTTGACCCCGACTGCCCGTCTACCGCTCATGGTTCAGAAGTGTCTCTCATTTTGGATCATCCTCGTGGCCAGGGCAAGCGCTGCTTCGCCTTGCAGACGCAGCCAGTGACTGGTGACTTGCATGTGCTGCAGCTAGAGAAGGCAGGTTGAGGGGATGCTTGCCTGTCCAGTGTGACGTAGGCTTCAGTATCTTCATTACTAGGTCATTACATGTACGAAAAACAGCCACGACAACAGCAGCCACTTATGCCACTCATCCGATGGCACGGGTTGGAGTGGCCGTAAACACGTATTGGACAGCCAAAGACCTGAATGGATCGCAGGGGCAAATCTGTGCTGGAGTTCCGTACGAAGTTTCCGTGCACCTTGACTGGCACTTGCCTGAGCCAAGCAGTGCTTGCTAGTCCTGGAGGCTTGTGGCATTTGCTAGCACTTTTCTGACCAGGGAGTGCGGTCTTTTGGAGCTCTTCATCGATGGGACGTGTGTTTTGAGGGAGATCCCCTTCCAGGCCCTTTTTTTTTGTGAAGCTCCGTTTAAGCGATTGGCCACAGATCTCTAGAACTCTTTGCATTGTCTCAGGCAGACCTCGAGCCGCAATACATAGGCCATTCACACAGCTGTGCCAATTCGCAAAGCAACAGGACATGAATTGCTTGTCTCGGTAGCAGCAATTCAATAATTTTCAGGTCTGTACAACTGGAGAAGCCGGGCCGTGTGTGGCTTTTCGGAGCAGCGGACACAGCTGAATCGTGTGACTCCGATGTTGACAGATACTGGTTTGTGTAAGTCTGTGTTGGTTCGCGTCAGGATTCTGGTTGGCAGCTCGCGGCCATATCCTGTGGTGGAAGATGCACAGCAAGTCTGGAGGCTGCTATGTAGATGTGATTGGGACCCACATCCAGAAGCCATGTCCACGACTCTTTGCATGCAATGCTTGCCAGGGTGTCGGAAAGCCAAAATCGCCGCGAGCGAGGCCTCGTCGTGCTTCTTTCTGTGTAGGTGGTTCTGTGGCAGTCACTGGCAACCACTTGCCGCACCACCTAAACCAGGTTCCTCGAGCCTGTTGAGGACAGCCTAGATGAGCTGGCGTGCCTATCTCCTGTGAAAGTCACGCATCGACAAAGCGCGCATGAGTTCAAATGAGCGAAGGATGCGACTGCTCTTCGTGCCCATCGTGCTGATTCTGCTGGCGGTGATCTCAGTTTTCTTCCCTTGTAAAACCCTCACCCAACAGTGTGAAATGAAGTACCGGGCAGCGGCCTGGCCGGATTTATGCGGCGACAGATGGCCAGAGGTAAGGTAGAATGAGGTGTGGTTTTACTTCGACTTTAGTGCTGTCCTCAGACTCAGAACCCGTACCATTCCAAATTTCTGACCTTTTCATTCTTTATCAGAAATTTATTTCGCAGGCCGGAGGCCTCCTTAAAAGGGAGTTTCTTTCCATAATCCGAGGGATGATTATCAGGCCAGAGTACTGTGATGAATTGACCGCCAGCTTGTTCAATGTTTCATGCTACTTGCACCTAGTCAGTTACCAAAAAAAAGGCACAGGGTTTAAGGGTTTGCGGTCCAGAAATTTACGGTGTGGGAGCAGGGGTTAGGGTCGAGGGACCAAAATTTCCCAAACCTAAATCTACACCTGCCGGAAGTATTGACTGCCCAAAACAGTTATGTAGGGCACCCCTCCTTTCTACGTTGTCGGAGCAGGGATTCAACGATTCTTGGCTGCACACTCCGTTTGATTGAATGTCTAGGTTTGCGGTCCAGGTTTTGGATAGTTCAATCATAAGGCCCCGCGAAAAAGGATCAGGCAACAGGGTCTTGCAAAACCTCGTGTTCAAATCTTTGAGCGTGTTTGCCATATTGCAGGTGGCCGCGGTGCGCCGGCTACTCCTTTTCCGTGATGTCTCCTAAAAAAATGCAAGCGCCCTAACAACTATTCCTCATGTGCTATCCGATGATCCATTAGCATAATATTTGCTTAATGACATAGTGACAGTCGCGGAAATCTTGAGCGTAGGAAACAGATAGATATGACGTATTCGAGCTAGAATTATATTCTCAGAACGCGACGCTCGCGGGCTTTCATTTTTATATTTTTCTTTAGAAGATTTTGGATATCATGGGGAATTGGAAATGTCGCTTGGATGATATATTTAAATTAGATGAGATAGTCCATATGGAATTGAATTTGCCGATCCATTACCTCACTGAATATCAAATTAAAAAAATCCATTTAATGAACTTCACAACGTTTTTTTTCTCGTTACAAGATGAATAATATGAAATAAAATTTGAAATATATATATTCTTATACTAAATCTATTTTTTGATTACGATTTAATCGGAAATATTTGGACTCATTTATTTCATTTATTTATATTTATCGGTCTTCTAATATTTAGATAATATTTTTCTTTATGAAATATTTCTTTTGATTTGAATGACTTCGATTAAAGATATTTCTGCTGGAATCTCATATAATTGCTACATATATATTCGGATAGGAGATGATTATAGAACTTGATGAGAGGACTCTGCCCATAGGAATGATGATTCTAGCTCTGAAGAGACGGAAATTTGAATATATAGATAATTGGAGAGGGTTTTGACGCTTTTCTTCATTAATTCTTCATTTCGTTTTGAAGATTGGTTCTTGTATTATTTATTTCTTCTTTCGGTGTTTGATTTCTCGTCTTATTCGAGCTGGGGGGCGGCTTTTGATGATTAGGAGGCAGACCCCGATTCTTTTTGAGATAATTGACTTTCAAATGATTGCGGAGGTATCTAGTTAGATTATTCTTCGGATTTCTTGAATAACGAGATTTCTTTCTTCTCACTTGATTTTTCTATAATCTATTTTGATGATAAAAGATCGTTTTTTTGAATATTTGATTTGGAAAATCGTAATATTAATTGGCTGATCTATTAGATGATGAATTGATGAATTTATTTTAATATATTTCCGATATTTATGTAAATATATACCTCCCAACCTCTTTTTTTTTTTCATGAAGAGTTATACGAATATTAGGAAATATATATTGACTAAATAGATTTTTTGCTTATGATTTAATTAAGAATATTCTCTTCATGATAATTGAGAAATTTAAGATAAATTCTGGTTCGATTTAATAAATCGCAATATTAGATAAATAGAATTTTTCTTGATGATTTCTTATTTCAATATTATGCTACGACTCTTCCAATCATTCTATTCGCACGCAACCTATCCTTCCAAATCCATTATTAAAATTCCTCTTACGAATTTCTTGGTACTCTAAAACCTCGGAGATTTTAAAGTTCTTCGGAAAATTAGAATATCTAAAATCTCTGAGATTATTAGCGCGAATAATATATTTAAAAATCTCGACCAATTTTAGCGCCGATTCTGCAATGATTTTCCGTATATTTCAACCTCTTTAGTTAGTTATCTATTCGTGAACGACAGATTCGAGATAAAGAAATAAAATCTTTCAGAACTCATAGATTGAGATGATGAGCTTATATCGAATACGTTTCGAAAACTTTCGAGATTTCGAATCATTCCTCTTTCTTTCATTACATATACGTTAGCTTTGACGGAATTCAGAAACCCGAAATAAAGAATCAAAATCTTTCAGAATTTATATAGATTCTCTATATCTATTTATAGAAATTACTATATTGCCCAAATCATTTTCTTAAATTATTTCGACGACTATTTCAGAGAACATAAATAGAGATTTTTTTTTTCAGAATTTATAGATTCTTCATATCTCTTGGAATAGAATCTCTCGAAATTCCGAATCATTTCTTTCTGTTGGCTTACTTCGACAGAACAGAAAGACCTAGAGAATCAATATTTTTCAAAAATTATAGATTCTCCGGACCTATTTGCAACGATTGCTACGCTCTCCTAAGCCAAAACGTATAAACGGAGATCAAAATCTTTCCGATAAATAACTTATAATATTTTTTATATGCGCTTCAATATATAGATTATTCGCCGATCTCCTCATTATAGAATTTCTCAAATAAATATTTGCCATTATTTTTCGAGATTTTTCGTGCAAGCCTTACTATTAAAAATATCGGAGATTTTACATCGTATAAGTTTTGTTTCCGGAGATCTTCCGCGTGATATATCTCTCTTTCATTATCTGCGCTGCTTTTCGTGGAACGGATAGACCAGAGACAGAGAAATGAAATTCTCAGAATTTATAGATTCTTTATATCTCGTGAGATGGAAAGACCGGATTGGATACGATTTAAAAGTCTCTCGAGATTTCGAATCATTTCTTTTCATTCGGCTGGCTCGGCGGAACGCAGAGACCTAGGATCGAGAATCAATATTTTTGTCCTTTACTTTTTCATCATTTTGGGAAATCCATTGGTATCGAATCCCAGGATTAAAGATTCAACAAACGCTAATTCGGTGAGGCTCTCGGCCATCTTGTTTCTTCAAGCCTTAAGGATCTTTTTCAACTGGATTTCCTTATTCGAGCTTGGGCTCTGCGGTTGGCTGCTCAGCAGTTGCGACTTCTTGAAAGACCTTGTCTGAAGCAATGCGCCGGCAATCCAGACCACTGGATGCGATCTCGCAGTTGCGATCAATGAGGTGCAGGCTGCTTTGCTTGCTTTGGCCTTGCTGTCCTGCTGAGGAGGATTGGGAGATTATTTGGTGGGGGTGGTTGAAACAACATGTACTTGTCCTCAGGAGTTGTCAGCGCGTTCAAGTTGTACTTTTTCCTGGCGTCACATTGCAAATTCATGAGGCATATCCAATGAATGCCACTCAAGGGGTCTGTAAATACGGAGATGAAGGTATGTAATCATCCTCTGCTTTCTGGATCGGGGAGACGTCGTCTGAACCCTGTATCCTCGCGTCCGATTATGACTGTGGGAGGCACAGGCCCACATAAAACAATGCCGGGAGGCTGAGTGTTTCTTGACTAAGCTGACAAAACTGAAGTTGTGTCTCTTTTCGCTTTATGGCATGGCGAGGGATTCCAAAGAAACTGACTTCATGCTGCTTGCCGCAGGACCCGAATCAAGACAACCTGGCCAGAGGTACAACTTTGCCCAGTTCTCCACCACGCTCAGCGCACACCAAGCAGGTTGCACCTACAGCGTATCAGCTGACTGCAAGGCCATGTCCTCTTTGCAGATCCGCATGCCTCAACCAGAATGCACTTGGCAGGGTCATTAAGGTTGACCTGGACGGCATATGCAAGGCAGTGGATTTCATGTTCACCAGGTCAGAAATCCGATGCAGAGGCTTTCAGAGACCTAGACAAGCTGCTGCATGGCCTAGCAAAATGTGCCTTGTGATGGCCCTTGGGAACTATGGCGTCCACCACTTCCAGGACGGCCTCTACAAAAAGGATGGTCCAGTCACACAGCTAAGCAAGTCACGGATAATGCAGTGCATGAAGACCTCTTTCTTTAGTGTATTTGTATTTCGCGCTTTGAACCTGACAAGCTCAGGAGCTTACAGCGACGGTTGCATTGGCCATTTGGCTTGAGTAAGGGTGGAGCTCTAAGGCCCAAGTTGTTGCGGCAGCATCAGGGCCGAGATGAGGAGGCAGCACCTCCTGCACAAAATCTGCTCATGTCTTGTAGGCCAAGGCCCTCCAAGCCGGTTGCTTTCCTCGGCCAGCTTGCGGAAATCCTCCAAAAACGGTTTACCTCAGCGTGTCCCCTCCGAAGAACAAGTGGAAGTAGAATTAACCATAAATGCTAAGGCGAGCGGCAAGTATGGTCAAGGGGTAGAACCCTACACAACAGCCTGGCGTCTATGACATCCCATCCATCTGCCCACCGTCAATCATCCCTTACCCAGCCTTGAGGCAGTGGCCATGCCTGCAAGGAATCATGTCAGGGGGTCTTTTTTGCCAAGAACCAACTCAGCTTCAGGGCCCAATGCATCACTCAATCCAATGCTCTACATCAAAAGCTAGCAGCTGAATTCCAACAACCTTTACGGGTAGCTGACAACTGTCAGGCCTGTAGACTGGAAGTCTGCTCTTTGGGCTTCCAACATCTGGCTGACTACCTCTTGCTTGCTCAGCGCAGTGCGAGATGTTGATGCATGGCTGCATGCTCTCCAGTTGGCTGAGATGGAGCATTCTTTTCTCATCCCCGCTGCTCCATCATGCTACTCTTCATGCATGAAGATCAGTATTTGACCTCCGGGACGACCAGAATCTGAGTCTTTGCTCAGCTCCTCATCTGCGAGCTAATAGTAGTCCTGAGCTTGCTGCAGGTCTGAGATGTTCCACTATGGCACCCCCTGCAAATTCCCATGGCGCGAAGCACTACGGTCTCTGGAGTTTGACCCTGTGAAAGCGCCTTGGTTGACAATCACATATGAAGCTGAGGATCATTGTACATAGCCTTTTTCTGCACGCCTTCATCCTCTCGGAACTCACGCAAGAATTGACGCACAACCTGCGGAGTCGTTGCAGGCACGTCAATTGCAGACAGAACACACTTCAAACACTGGGAGCTGCAAAAACTCCTTGATGGAGTTTTGCGGGATCATGCAACATTCAAACCTGTCTTTAATTCAGGGCAACCTGCTCTAGAACAAGTACTCAGTTTCACGGATAGGTACGAACTTCAGTAAGAATCCCTCTGCTAAAACACACGTGGTTTTAGTTGGATTCCAGCCCAAGTACACTTTGTCGTGGCAGCGGCACGCAAAAGGGGAGTGACTTCTCCCAAACATCAACTTCCTAAGAAGCTTTGGACGTGGGCGCTCCTGCATGGGCAGATTTTCGTAAATCCAACGGGTTTCATTGTCTTGCCCTCCAGAAAACCATATAACACCATTGTCTCAACTGACTCCGAACCTCCACTGCGCCATGCCAGCGTGGCTCTGCTTCGTGTTGGCCCACAATACCACGCATGGCAATGAATAGCTCCACCTCACGAACCTGCAGAAAGCGGTCTTGAGAGAGGTGTAGTAGGTCTGCTTCCGTCGAGAGATGCCTCTGCGTTAACAAATGCTACTTCGTCAGCATGCGACACTGGCTTACTTAAGTATACAAAGGCCACCTCTGCCAAAGCCTTTGGATTCTGCCGTGCTACGCCTCAGCAAGAGAAGCATTTAACAGGCTGCACAAATGTGCACCGCAAATGATGAATCTCCACTGTGAACATGTCGTCTTTGAGTGGAGTTGTGTCAGCAGCGCAGCTACAGTGCAGCTCATGTTCACGACTTTCTAGGTTTACATGCTGCAGCCGTGCTGCTCCACAGGAGCTGAACCACCGACTTTGCTACATCAGGCCTCGCGCAGGTCTTTTATCGGGGGGATCCCTCTCTCGAAAAGCACAGCAGCATCTGTGCAACATGGTGTTTGACATGGACCAAAGCCTGTCTGGATGCTTCTGCAGCACCTGATGCCCCAGTGCAACAATGTGGTGCTCAGAGTCGTTGAGGAAAGACCTCTGGAGCCAGAAAGCGGAACCCTCTTGATATCTCTTGATTCAACTTGATGCAGCACTGCTTTCCTTGGTGCGCTGAGCTCAGGGCGCCATTGCAGGGTTACCTTGGATGGGAAACCGCTAGAGCTCATCCAATCACGAATTCCGCGCTCAAAGTCACGAACAGACCACGAACTGCACATCTTGCAATCAGAAAGCGAAGTGTAAGGTTCGAAAGCAGGCCAAAACCTTGCTCACAAACAACAGGTGTTGCCAAATGTCGCTGCACGGCTCGCACGTAGCGGCACGTCTCACATGACCTTGGATAAGCTATGAGCAACGTTTTCACCGCTGACTCCATCCAGTGGTGTCTAATGGTCTTTGGGCTGTGCAGCAATCCTCCATGCAGGCTAGTCGCAAGGAAAGCTCGTCCCGAACATCTTCGCAAAGCGCAAGGGCGCGCAGAACAGCCATTGCAGCGCGCACGACGCGAGCTTCTGGCGACTCCAGGGCTTTTTGCACGAAGGCCAGAAGCTTGCTGCTCGGTTTCGCAATCTCCTGAATGCGTTCCTGGCCCCTGGCAATCTCGCGAAGTAGCAGCAATGCTTGTTCTGTGATTTTTACTTGTGGATGATGCAGCGCGAGTTGGCATGCGTGCTGTACCGCATTCTTTACTTCCGGGTATAAAGCGTCGCTCAGCAGCACATCGCGGTTCTCAAGTGCTGAAGGTGTAGTTTCTGCTTTGCGATTGTCATCATCCACAATCAAAGACCGCAGCGCCGCCAGCGCTTCAGCTTGAGCTTGAACGGAGTCAGGAAATGCCTTCAGTGCATCCAGCAAGACGGGCAGTGCACTAGGCTTAGCCTCGTCTGGAGCCTCTGATGGCTCTAATGCCTCAGCGAGCCCTGCTGCCATCTGCTTGTTCGCATCATTCGCGGTGCACATTGCTGCAAGGGCTGTGCTGGCCGCAATGGTCGTGGCTTCATCCTTGTCGCACACTCCCGCAGACAGAAGTCGCACGCAGGCAGCCAAAAAACCAGCATCTCGGAGCGAGGCACGGTTCACCACGCTTGTTCGACAGACTTCCGGCATTGTCCGGCAGAACGCCAGCATTGCCTTGCCCTGCCAGCTGTGAGGTTCCCTGCTCAGGGCAGCACAGATTTGCGCGATGCCCTCGAAGTCGCTGAGCAGATCTCTGTCCCCTGGTGTTGCACGGACCCTTCGACCGATGTTTTGGAGGACTTCTGCGAATTGCGCGACATCCTCCGCTGAAGTCTCCGCGATATCAATCAGGTCGAGGAGCTCAGGCAACTCTTCGTTTGCCGCACACGGCTCCTCCTCATCTTCCTGATGGGCAACGTCTTCCACAGCCATGGCTGCTGGTGTCAGTCCCAATGAAACAACAGGGCAGGATACTTGTTCATGGAATGCTGGCAAATCTGAGCTTTTGATCATCTCCGAGTGTGCAAGACAGTCAAGACACGTCATGGAAACGGGTTCTGCTTGGCACTTGAACCTCAGCAGGCACTAACCGATTAGCCGACAAATGTGGACAAGCACCACAGTCGCGTCCACTTCAAATGAAATCTTGAAGCTCAAGGCTGAAAGGACCCTGGCAACTTGTCGCCCAGCCCTGAGAGTTGGTAGGAAATACCGTCTGAACAGGCCTTGGATGGTACCACCGCATCGGGCTGGATCAGCTTGAGAAATCCGGCCCCCTTGCCTGCCTTGCGCAGCCAGCAAGGCACCAGGGCTTCCATCACGCAACGCTCCAAAGTGCCTCTGTGCACGGCATAAACTTGGGCTTGGAGGCTTGCGCAGCATCCTCCGGCCTGGGATCCAAAACACAAGAGCCCAGAAGGAAAAGCACTTAGCCTTTGCTTGTTGCGCACCTTGATGCTGTTGACCCAGGTTCCTGGCATCTGGCCGCCGTTAGATCTGCTAAACTCTTGCCAGTTCTTGCGGGTGGCTGAAACTACTTCCGAAGTAGCTGATCAACGCTGGATACCTGCAGGTCGTGAAGCATTTTTTGAAGATCGCGCTTCGCGTTGACAGCGCTGCCTTGCAGGCAACTAGACCCGAGTGTCACGTTGCCCCGGTCACAAAAGACGCCCCCAAACTTGACGAGTGCATCCCACTACCAGCCTGAATTGACGGTGGTGAAGAAAACGCCTTTGTCACCGACCGTCATTTCCACCTTTTGTCGCTTCGCAGCTTTGGCCGGACCACCATCCGGCGCTGGCCTGTCAGCAGGATCGTGATACAAGATGATCCCGTATGACAAGCCAAGCTGCCCCAAGGCCTTTTCTGACCAGCTGCATTTGGCGTGGCTTTTGCCTTGCTCATCTCAAACAGTTTCCAGGGATCCATCCCCATTTCAATGCGCCCCAGCTGACCATGCCAATGAAGCCAGGCTGCGGCAGGCTCAGCAGGCTTGGCATCTTCACCTGGTGGAACTCGATTAGCTTGACTGCTTTTTTGGCTGTCCCATGAGCATGGCTTGGACAATGAGATCCCTTCTTTGCCTCAAGGAATTGTACAAAACAAATAAAATCACTTTCCGGACTCTGAGCGGGCTCAAAATCATCTCTGACTGACTAAGATGTAGGACTCGAAGAAACGTGCTGTTGATCCAGGAGTGGTGGCTTAAAGCCACGTGCAGGTCCGACAAATATCTTGTGTGTCATGATCCTGGAAGGAATGCTTTTGAGCAAGCGACCACTCTGAATCTAGGGTCCATGTCGCAAGGCTTCCCATGGCCTGCTGGAGGCTCGGAAGGAGGCACTGACGCATCTTTAGAGCCAGAGTTTTCACCACGGCTAGGCTCAGCCATCTCCGCCACTGGGACTTGTGACAGTTGTGATAACAGCTCGAATTCAGTGACTTGCTGTTTCTGCTCAGGATCAGACGTGTAGATGCAATCTGTGCCCTGCCTCTCTCATGTAAATCTTTGGAATGTCAAGCAGGAGATGTTATGGTGCTAGGGCTAGTGCTAGGCCGCTCAGCAGTAACTCGAATACCATGCTCTTCCATGCAGATTCTCTGCTTTGAGATGCAGGGGATGTAGATTCCAGACATGCCAGTGACGAATGAACAAGCGTGTGGAAATGCATTCGACCTTTCCGAGTCAAATTCAAGCCAAAGTGCTGCGCTCCCTGTCATGTACTCTCACACATTCTCTTTTGGAAGCATCAGCATATGATGGACCGCAGCTTGTCCTGGCGGTCCTTTGTGTCGGGCTGCCTGTTGCTGCTGGCCGAAGAGGGGCTCGTTGGCCGAAAACTGCTCTGCGGGGAGCTAAGGTTCGGTGGTGTGAGACATCTGATCAAGCTTGCAGCTGGAGGATGCTGCAGAGACCACTCTGTACATCTCTGTACAACGCAAGGGAAGTTAACGAACTACGCATTCTGCCGCTGGCCATGTCCCCAGCGTCGCCTCACCGGAGGACTAAACTGAACCTCGCACTTCTTCTGGGCTGCTTGGCCGTCAGCACCTTCACGGAAGCGGAAGAAACAAGATTCCAACAAGCGCTCGCAGCATTGGCATTGGCATTGGAAGTCCTACGAGGGGAGGACAAAGATGCGCGCGCAGCGAGATGCAATGAGCCCAGCCTGGCTGCGGTTCTGATGCTTTGGCCATTTTGGTTGACCCAAACCTTGGTCTCCTAAATGATAAGAGCACAGACTTCTCTGCCAAGACTTGATGCCTGACAGTAACTGGCTAACCGCACGGCCCTTCACAGGAAAACGCTCATCGTGCGAGATGTCTTCAAGCTTGTCCAAATCATCCTTCAGAAGAGCTTGAAGCTTGGACACGTCCGTATCATTCTTGACCTGCAGGGCAGTGGTCACTGCGAGACATCTGCTGCGGACAGGCGTGTCTCGGCGCTGGCCTTGCTCTCCTTGGTTGATGTTGGGGCAGTCAGCGAAACGAACTTTTCTGATGCTAGCTGGATTCAAGACTTGCATAAATGTGCCAAAACATTGTTCAACGATGATCGGGTCTCAATGATGGGTTCCACTCCTGTCTCCCGGAAAACGCCAAGGGCTCTGCTTGTTGCCGAGCCCATCCCTTCCACGGAGCTCAAGAACTCCTCAGCGCGTTAAAGTGAGTGCGACGTACGAGACATTGGAACAAACAAGCTAACAGTACCAAACTCTCCAAGTCCTCGCTGAACTGAACACCGTTCCACGGCCGTTCGCGCATCTGCTGCAGCTGTCCCTCGCTGGGAAGCATAGCGGACGCGAACATGTCAGGTTTGACACCAAGCCTCAGAAAACTAATCGCATGACGCAGCGCGACAGCACGGCAAGATTCAACGGGATTCGGCAGATGCATGGTCAGGATCTGACAACAGCTCATGCATCAAAGCAACTTGTCGCAAGTGCTCTTCACAAATGCGATGCCACTTCGCAGAAGGTCTTCATCCACGCCAGTGTTCCTTGCAGCACTTTCGAAGCTGGGCCGCCATATGCGACGAGCTCGGAAGCTACGCTCTTGCACCTTGTCCCCTTACGAGCGAAACTGAGACCGAGAGTCAGCCAAATGTCATGCACCAATCCTGTGCGCAGCTTCTGAACTAAACGCTGTCGCTCCGCTTCTCTTTCAGCTTCTGTTGGAAGGCATGCCTGCGATTTGCTAGAAAGGGGCAAGAACATGGAGCAGGCAACTAGATCCATCACACATGGTCACAGTGTGCTGCCAGGAAGCGTTGAAGGCAACTCCCAGACGTAAGCCATCAACTGATCGGCCCAATCGGCTGAGGACACTCACCTGCAAATTTCACAGCCAACAATAAGAAGCGACACTCCAGCGGTCCTTCCACTCCTCTTGCTCGATCTTATTCTTTCTCAAATAGGGGGTGGCTATGAGATGAATCGTGGAGTCAGGAGGCTGTGTCTTGCCGGGGGCCACGAGGGCCTGTCACCAGAAGTACCTCAGTGGTTGACAACTTTCACGAGCCCAGATGTAGCGCTTCAAGAACATATCTGATTAATCTCTTCCAAGCGTCTCTCCGGACACCTATGGATGCAGCTTCATGGCACCATTCCCTGAAGGCCTGACGTTCAAGGCAACTACTGCTTCACGAGGTGTGGGAAGCCATCTGTGCTGAGCAGGATTCACGAAACAAAGGTGGGGCGAAGTGCGCAGGCATTTGATCTGTGTTTTTGAAGCACTTTCAATCCAGGTAAGTCCGCATCATTGCCAACAACACCACAAATGGATATGCCTCCGCAGGATTCTTCCTGCTCTGGTGCTTGAGACCTTGAAGCATGTTAGGAAGTCGTTTACAACAAGCAACACACGACAGGGAACAACTCACTGCACAGCATGAGATGCGCCAACCGGCACTCTCAGGAGCGTCACTGCTTGTTCCGGCTGCGTGTTGCCAATGTTGAATTGCCAATGTGGTACTGACATGTAGTGATGGGCGCAGGACGGCCAACACCATGATCAACTCTTGGCTTCAGGCTTGACGTTTAAGCCAGGAACCCTGTAAACAAGTCCAAGCTGCTGTAATGCACGGTCACTTCCACAGAGGGCAGCTCAGAACGCAGAATCCTGGCCTGAGTTCACGCATCCTGGGAGGAAGTGAAACAAAATGAGACGAATTCAGGTTGGGGCGCTGGCCCACTCCAACAATGGTTCTCCAGGCTTCTTGTTGGGGATATTCAGGCCAGACAAGACACCGGTCTTCTGAGCCTTCTGCAGCACAGTGGCTGCATGCCTTGACAGAAGCTCGGTGATGACTCGCAGCTTACTAGTTGCAAAGGTAGGGAAGTTGGAAGGAATGCGCCTTGTGTAGTCATACACGCCCATCAATTCCAAGCGACATGTTGCCATCCGACCTAAGATTCTGGAAAGCCACCGTTTGGGAGCATCTGCGATGTACTAAATTTGGAAAGCCGGCGCTTGCTTGCCGCTTGCCGCGCCAAACGATGGCCCAAAGCTGCTGCCACAGTTGCTATCACAAATCGCGTCCGTGAAAGATCGCCTAGCAGCATCATGGCACGGGAAATGGAAGCAGCAGCAGACTTGAACGTCTTTCAAACTCCACAGCCTGGTATCCTAACGTCAACTGACGTAAACATGCCAGACGGCACGCTTGTTGCGCTGATTTGGTGGTGCGAACAGACGGTGGCCGAAGCCCCGACCTGACTGGTGTCGACTTTCTGGCGCAGATACGACTGGAAGATCAAAGAAAACAGGAAGCTGCAGGCAATCTGGAGATCTGGAGTCCGAGTTGCACAGAGCGCTTGCACGATTATGCGGCGCAGTGCTGTGCTCAATGACCTTTCACTACAACCGGAGGCTGCCTCCAACTTCGTATCACTCAAATTATTTGCCTGCTGCCAGTGCAGTCTTGCCTAAGGCTTTGACCACGGGCTGAAGGCAGCGCATGGACAACTTGTTAGCCAAAACATTGCTCAGCACAAAAAAAGGTTGTGAGTGCAAAGCTACTGGCGACAACCCAGCGCAGCAAGGATATAGCCCAACTGAATCATTTTTCCACGACTGCTATGGATTGCGGCAAGGTTGTCTTTGGAGTTTCCCGCAAGGGCATCTGAAACCCTCTGGTGTGTAGCGGGACCCAAAATTTCTGTTGTCAGAGTACAACTGTGGGACTGTCTTGAAGCGGGCAGCATGTGCGCTGCAGATCGCTCAAGACGTAACGTTTTTTGCATACGAATTCCAAGGCCATAGCTTTGGCCTCAAAGAACGCGAAAAAATGTAAGAGCGAAGGCAATCACAATACAACGAACACAAGTAGCTAGGAGACACCACGGTAAAGCACACGGTACTTAGTGATGTTAACAAAAGCTCTCAAAGCATCGACATGCTTTCGCATTATCTCTGCTTTGAGTGCATCCTTCGCTGCAGCTCTTGAGACACTTCAAATAGTCCGAGCTGCTCCTTGCTTTGCCAGGGCCTTGTGCAATGTCAGCGTCCTAGAGGGTTAGGGATACATTGCCTGGAGGCAAGTGCAGACACAAACCTGATGTTCATGTTCCTCCAGGATAACAAACGCCACTCGTGCCTGATGCTGCACCACGTCTAGAAGCGAAAGCTTTGCATCCCCAGTATTATATGTTGCGGAGGACGCCTGGAACGTTGCCTCAGCCCTTGCAGCCCGGAACGTTAATGCAGGTTTGGAAGCACTTGGCATGATGGAAGTGGCCCGTGCTGACTTCACCAATACTGTGGAAGATTCGGTACGTGCACATCACTGCTCAATGCTCAACATATTGGGATCTTCCGAACCTGCTCGAAAATCGTTACACTGCAGTTGACAATGCATTACCACGGCTCGTTGCTGCAGTGGGAGTTGGAACATGTTGGAATGCTCAAATTCATCTACCCTCATATCCAGTCCAAGAGCGTGTGCCACAATTTCCCCTCAACCTCCACACTGCAACGGCCGTAAAAAAAGTTTGCTTTCTACGATTCCATCGGCATTTCGAGGTTCCTAAATCTGAGGCTTCAAATGCAACAAAGAGGGAAGCTCCCAGGTCACCTTGGCTATCCGAGCATGCTTCCTGCCCAGGGCAAGAAACAAGTGCACGAGCATTTCTCTAAAGGCTTCGTTGCAGCTATGCTGCTTCAGCGGCCAGACGCACGACTTTCCGTGGAAATCCTCCACATGTGCAGACCATCTAGGCATGTCTAGACCGTCTAGGCATGTCTAGGCAACTGCGGCGTGATGGCCGCAGCTGGATAGGAACTGCAACTGCATCATACTGCATCTAACTTGGGTCGTCCTTTGCAGGCTGCGAGCGCCGGGAGTGCTCTAATTCGACGCCTCAGCAGAAAGCAGCATCAAGCAGCAAGTCGCGCACAGGAGCCCCGATTCTGGAGGCTCTGGCAGAAGATCTTCGTTTGGCCGCAGCGGCTCACCGGCCTCTGCTGAAGCTTAACAGCTCAGCCCATCCCTTTCTCTCTCCGGATTGTACTCCCAGATGCACCCAAACAAGATGGTTGCAGTTCAAGTTCAACCTTCTGACATCCAGTATATTTGCAACTTTTTCTCTCCCTCTTCTTCTGCGCTGCCTTCTCTGTGTCACGAGAAAGGTCTGAAAGGAAGATTGGCCGATGCAACCTGCCACTTGCATGAGCCACTGTTGCAAAGCGGCTTTCAAAACCTCGCCTCTGCAGGAAAAGCTGTGCCGCCTTGCAACTTGCACTGGATGAAGTGAGCTTGGCAAACACTTAGACTTATGTCACGTCACGTCTGCAGCCTCCATCTCAGGCAGTGGACCAAGTGCAATATTCACTGCCCTGGGTCGCAAGAGGCCACACGTCTCGTCACAGCTAGCTCTGCATCAGTTGCAGGAAACAGGCCAGCGGTCATCAGTTGAGGAAAGGGGTTTGAGAGACCGTGACATGCGAGCTGAAGCATCTGAAGCCCGGACTTCCACCTGTCTCCTGCGTTGAGCAATTCTTGCCTTGCAATTCTTGGCATGTCCGAGTTGCAGCAGTCCTCCGTCGCCGTCGAGTCGGTACAGAGGTGACCGCCTTGTGCGTGTGAGCGATGAAAATGCAAGAACGGCATGCTCTGCATGAACACAGTTGCAGCCTGAACAAGAGAATGCACAGCTGCGGATACTTGTCCAACAGCTCTGGCACGAACTCATCTCGCCTGACATTTCAAGCACACACGTTCACCGCATCTCAATATGTCTCAATACGATGTTTCTCGACATGTTCCCAACCATTCATGCAAGTTGAGGTGTAAGACCCCAGCCAGCCGAGACGCTCCTCAGCATCGTCAACCAACAAACCTGACATGATCTGGCATGGACTCTCTCACTTGGCGTATTTGGCGTCTCATAAGTGGGCACAGGATCAGTGGTACATGTCATACTTGGCAAGACAGTTGCAAGCCATGCCAAGCGCACAAGTCCGCGCAGGCCGACCCTCGTTCAGCTTTGGGCTCCCAAGCCCCGCAGCCTCAATTCTTGATTTTGCAAAGTGGCAGCAATGAAGCAAACAGGCACACGGCTGCTGCAAAGATCGCCAGTCGAGCGCATGCGGCTGCAGTGTCTGTGGGAGCATGCAGCTTGCAAATACGGGAACATACGGGAACGTACAGGAATCCAGAAAGCACTACATCTCTCCAGTCGACGTCACGTCAAGTGGGATGACAGCTGGTTCAGGCCTGCGTCCGAGCCTCGGCCTGGGTCCTTCAGCGACCTGACAAGCGACGGCTTTGAAGGCGAAATCGTAAAAGGCAGCCTTAGCCGAGGTCAGGGCACAAAGGCCAGCCTGCGGTTTCCTTTAACCTTAGCTGTGAGCACTCATGTTTGCTTATGTTGCTTGCTTCAGGCTGGTCTTGGCCGGAGGGCTGGTGCAAACTTCCTGCCGGGGGAGGTTGCGAAGCGGCACAGTTCAGCTCCTGACAAGAGCTTCGCAAAACATGGCATCACCGAGGCACACCCAAGCCCCTAGCCTAGTGCGCTCTTACCGGCTCCGTTGGGGCCGTGCAGGATGAGCAGACGTCGACCTGCAAAACTGTCATCTGCATACATACCTGTAGCTGCAGAACTTTGATTGATGTGAACGCTGAATGGCATGGAATTTCTGTGCCTCCTGAAGCGCCTAGCATCTGCAAAAGTCTCTGCAAGTCTGCGCCGCGGCCAATGAAGTCTTCACAGTCCTCTGACAAGGCATGCATGTGCATGCATGTTGTGCAAACCACAGCTGCAAATAAGTCACAAGGCCATCATGCAAACCTTACTTAACCAGGCAAGCAGCAACGCTGGTCGATTCCCAGGGTGGCGAGGCACCCCCAACAAGGCAGTGAGTTCTCATGTCAAACGACAAACACCATACGTACCAGTACATATACATTTGGGAGGCACGAATATGAAAGCCTGCCAGTGGACCAGGGGGTTGTCCCATATTCCTTCATCTCGAATTGGGGGCTTGCGCCGTGCTTGCGCCCAGCTTGCACGCGCACAGTTTGGCTCACAATGGTTTTCGCACAGGCTCTTCACATTAAAGCTGATACCATGAGCTTTTTCGAACCCCTGCGCCAACCTTGCGAGGAGCTTGCCCGCACGGGGTTTTTGACAAATGAGGTAATGCTGGGGTTTTGCAAGAGTTTTCGGACAACCCTCAAGTGTTAGTAGCTGCATGTAGCTGCCACAAATCATGTCCTGTGGCATTTTCTCTTTGGAACATGTGCTCAAAGAGGATGCGCTATCCTGGAGCACAGGAGCAACAAGTGTTGCAGCTAGAACGCCAGTGCCAACATTTGGGAACGCATTTCATCACTAAAGCGTGTGAAGGTTTATGCCTCTGGAGTTTCACCAGCAGTGTCTTCAGTTGAAGTGGAGCTTGTGGCCTGAACCAAGCTTTCACTGCCACGAGTCTGTGCCAACAGGCATCAGCTGGAGCCTCTGTAGAGGCAGCTCTGCTGCTGCAGCCTGATCCCCGTAAATCCCGGCAGCTGCGCAACGCAAAAGATCGCCAGAGTACAGTCTTGCCGCCTTGCCATGCCTTGCCTTCAGTGATGTCACCACTCATGGCAACTGGCATCCAGCAGCCTGGCAGGCTCCTCAAGTGAGGGGCAAAAATCCTTGTAGGGACATGACGGCGCGGCAGGCAAAGCTCCTGCGAGAGTCTGCGCGTAGGATCTCATCTGGGCCTAACAGAATCGAGACCCAAGCTGCTCTACCATCTTTGCGCATCTTTGCGCTGGCTGGTGACTAGTCTGTTTGAGGTCATCACCCTTCTCCAAGAGCAGCAGCTTCTTGGCTTCCATGCGAACGGCTGGGTTTGTAGCAGTCTGCAAAGCCTGCAAATGCATCGAATCATGTTCTCAGGCATAAACCTGCCAAGCCGCACCAACCTCTTTTGCAGCACCAAATGCCAAGCGCACTTGCGATGCAAGGCCTTGGGAGTCGAGAGGCTCTACCAATCCAAGGTATGAAGATTCATTTCGCAAGCTGGGTTGGAGGCTGTTAGACAGCTTCAAAGACTCTGACGGCCTCCAGCGCCATCAGGAACAGCAGGAGGAGGGCAGCTCTCGAAACAGCTGAGGCAAGGGCTCCGATGCGAAAGCACAATGCAGCCGACGGTAGAAATGTGATGCGAAAATGCGAGCGGTTGCATCGCCTGGTTTCCGGCAGTTCAGCTCGACATGCTGCTCATTATGGATCTCTGTGAACCTGGCAGAATCTGACTTGTTACTGATACTGTGTGAATCAAGCGAATCCCATGCAGTTTGCCTTCGTTTTAGGTCTTACTTTCGTCAGGATTCGCAGCCAGATGAGGATCTCAAGTGATGATTGCCAGGGGCTCTGTGGCAGAACATTGTCGTGATTCCGCTTGTGGAGGTCCGCATACAACATGTACAAGGCATCCGTGAAGCAGCCCCATTCTTAAGGGCACTGCGCAGTTCGCCCGACGACACGACAGCAAAGGAGGCCCCAGACGAAAGGAGCGCTCGCCCAGCCTTCCAGAAGCTCATACACTTGAACAATGGAAAGCGTGCAAATCTTGATGTCCGCTTGTGTCATGCTCCTACATTATGTGCAGAGCTGAATGCAGATGCTTCAACTTCATGTTGTGTGGGAGACACCTGCTCCCCAGCACAGGCAAGGATCGAGACGCCCAGCGGTGGAGTCTTGCATGTGAAGAGCTGCGCCTAAGCCGACGTGCGCACATGGCACTGCTCCGGTGTGCCAAAAGTCAATTTGTGGTCCGTGCTGCCATGGACACCACAATAGGTGCCCCGTCCTCGTCCTACACTGATGGTTGAACAGCTCTCAGGAATGAGTCAACTCTCAAGCCGTGATCCGGCTGCCAAGGCCTCCAAAACCAGCCGCCCCGTCCCTGGCTCGCTGTGAGCTGCAATATGCCACCAGGTTGGACCTGGCTGCTACACTGTCAGCGCCAACTACACTCTGCCCTCCCTGCAGAAGGCCAACAGAACCAATCAACCAAAAATGAACATAATAAGCAGATTCGCAGCTCTTTCTCCGTCTTAATCGATGTCAAAGCAGCCTTTGGCGTAGACACGAGGGACTGCACTAGTCTGAGGGCGCGAACTCGATCTACTCGGGGGTCCTGTGGGTCGCTCCCACGCCCGGCAAACCCTCTCAAATCTCTCCCAAAATGGACAGCTTAGAGTCAGCAGCGTGATTTGAGTCCAACTGCTTCTATTTACGTTTAGCCTCAGCGCGCTGCTTGGCAGCGGCTCCTGAGGCACCAACGAAGCAGCGGTGCTTGGATTCTTGCGACAAGCATGCGCTAACTTGAGGAGCCGCCTCGTATGTGCTGCTGGGACCATTGCAGCGTGACACTTCCCGTGCTGCTCGGACCGTCACAGTATGACACTTCGCGTGCCGCTCAGTGAAAGACTTAGCTCTCGAGAGCACTCGCGCACAAACCATCTTCCAAGCCCAGCAGGTCACATGAGGCTTCAAAAAGGTCCTGCCGTTCAAAAGCTTACAGGAAAACTTGTAATTAGCAAAGGTGCTCCTTGCGCATGAGTTTGCCCGCTCCTCCTGCAAAAATCGATCGGCAGCAGCATCTGATATCCCGGCAAGTCCACAGTACTCCGCCTGGATGGTCAAGGCCCCTTACAGCTCTTCATCTTGTTGCAAGCCCCTCGCCTTCTGCCCACAATCCGTAAGAGGAGGAGATAGCGGCGAGTAGTACCGTCCCGTCACGTCCTGGAGGTCCCTGATTTCTCACTCAAATTGGCAGGCACCACTTTGTTGCAGTCTCCTGGATTGCAGGGTGCGTCGATACATGTATCTGCGTCTTTGGAGCATCCTCCTGGGCAGACCCATGACAAGCTGCCTCGCCGCAGGCTTGTGAAGCTTTCTAGCCCCTGCCTCGGACTGCATGAAGCCAACCCATCTGCTCATAGGCTGCATCAGGTTGTCGTGCAGAAACCTTCGCGGAAAAACGTCAGTCAGAGAACGATGACACTGAGTTCCGCAAAGGAGCTTCTGCGTGGGAGAGAAGTCTGCCTGTCTGAGCAGCCCAGTCCTTAGCACAGGATCTTTCACGTGATTCCGCGGCATCAATCCAAAGCTGCTCCGCAGGTCTTCAAGGCTGAGGCGGCACAATGGCAGGATGCAGTGCATGTGTTACGACCTGGCATGCTGAGGAGGCTCATGAAGCACAGTGAGGCTGCATCCGGCAAAATCGAGTCTCAAACGTTCGGAGGTAGACGCCGAGCCAGCGCGTTGCTGAAGAGGACCTCTTGCATGGCAAGTTGAGAGCGTGCCAGCTTCAACCCAAGGTCCGTAGCACCATCCTAGATACATCTCTTGAGCAGTTGTAGGCCTGAGCTAATTTCGAGTCCGCATAGGACCCACCCAGATTCCCCATCATCCTCAATCGCCTGGCACACAATTTGACATTGTGCAGGTCCTGCCCACTCTGCCAGTTCCTGCCCATGCCTCTTAGGGAAGTCCAGATCCAAGACCTTGCGCGAACGCAAATCCTGCACGACATGCGCTTTGGACTTTGGACGTTCTGGACCATCTGAGGGACTAGGCTGCAGGTGCGCAAGCAGTGACCAGTCCGTGGTGCTGATGTTCCCCCACCTGCAGCTTCAGCGGTCGAGCCTGGTGTGACTTGCTCGCACGGAGCTTAAACGATCTACCTGAGGTCAGAGCTCATGAGCCTTTGCGGAGACGTGTACGATTCGTCCGGCAGCGCTTTGCTCCAAGCGTGGAAGCAAGAGATGCGTCAGCAAAAACCTGAGTTTGCTTCTGTGACAGCTTGACATTGTGCAACCCGCCGCGTGCTTGATCGATCCTCAGCAAACGGCGATGATAGGTAGTTGACCTGAATGTCATTGCTTTGGCTTCTGTGGGAAATCGTCTCATTGCGAGCCTGCAAGCATTCCTCGAAACCATCCTGATCCAGGGCATTATGAAAGCTTAGCGGCTGCGCCGAGAATTTTCACGGAATCCAAAGCCAGCCCGCAGTCCTCTGTGCGTATCAGTTCGCCAGTTCCAAGGACAGCAGCGTTGTGAACAAGCACATCCTGGAACCAATGCGGCAGAGTATGCGCAAGCTTGAAACTTACAGAAATCAATTGCCTTCCGAAGATTTGGCCCGACAGCTTTTACATGAGGAGGCTGCAAAGGGTTTCTCTGTCAAAGCCTCGTCCGTGGAAAAGCTCGTGAACAAATCTTGCCTTTCTGTATGCTCGAGGGTAAGCCAAACTTACTGATGCATAAAGGTTTTTCAATGTTGTCAATTCATGACGAAAGCTTGCCCATAATGGCAACGCAAGCCTTTTGAGGTGGCTACTGGGGCTCCTAGGCCATGTAAGTCAGTTTCCACGTACCTTGCTAACAGAAGGCCCTCAACTTTGCAGCTTCAAGGCCCGAGTTTCAAACTTGAAGAACTCCAAAACACAGAGTTTTGGGTTGTTTTCCGTTTACCTAGGCACGGCAGTGCCATGACACGAAGGCGTCAGCTCCCAGATGCGACACCAAATATGATGATGGCGACTGCGACATGCCGCTTTCACCGAAAGGGTGAAAGGGTCACCAGCCTTCATACTAAAGCCACTATCCTTGGCATCATGCAATGTTGGGCCCATGACAATGTCATACTTTGGCGAGGGCAGGGCTCCATCGCCGCAATTTCTCACAATTTCTCGAAACTTTTTTTGTTGGACGACGCGCCAAGAATACCAACAGCTTCACATTTTGGGTAGCCACACCTTCAAACCAACAATTTTGTGCCAAAGAAAACACGACGCAGTTTTGGCTGGCCTGCTCTGTATGAGGTTCATGACCTTCCATCGCGGACACTAATTTGACATAGTTTGACGACCCTCCGAGCATATGTTGCAAGCATCTAGCATCAACACCGACATGGCACATCAACGGCGCAATCCACTGCAAGATTTTTGGCGAGAAAATGAAACCAAACAAATACTACACGCGAACGAACATGCTTGTTAAGAGCGAACGCTCGTCATGGACAGCATCCAGTTAACAAAAAATGCGAGAGCTTTTGAAACTCCCAACAATCCATTGAGCTTCTTTTTTGCTAGTTACTACAAACCGCTGAATGCGTCAGTGTTTTCTTTAAAGCTCGAAACACTTTTTGAAGAGAAAGCATGTATCGCAAGCATCCGGCATCATCGCTAACAATGCAGTGCAAGCAAGAATCCTTTGCAGCGCCTTGGGGAATGAGTAGATACCAGCTGAGTTTAGATTCTGATCTCTAGTTTGCTTAGCTGTGAAGTGGATGTGAGCGCATGTCTTGCGCAGAATCAATGCGAAACATATGTCCATCCAACCTGAGATACCCGACATGAGCCGCTATAGGTCATCCTTCGCCAGCACACGTATGCATACACCGGCACAAAAGACACAAACAAACAAGCACGTTAGTTGCAGGCATTTGCACGACAAAGTTTGCCATGGATCTGCGGCACATGAAGTATCAATGACTTGTCAAAGCACGTCTAAAATCGCTTTCCGGATCTGTGCCTTTGGTTTGTTTGATGCCGAGTCGCTACAGGTCCAGTGTACTGCTCAGCAAAATCTTTCACACTCTGCAAGGATGCCAAATCCATCTCCATGATCACCTCTTGTCTGTGCAAAGGGCTCTAAGGAGTCAGAACGGAGGGCTGAGTGCTTGTTTTGAAGACTGAGCTACGCGCAGGTGCAGGTGCTGCGGGGAAGTCCTTCATGACACGTGTTCATCAATGTGCGTGCGGAAGGCTTGACCGTTCAAAGAGCTCTGGCCTGGGAAAATCTCTGCAGCAGTGCTTGACCCTTTTTCAAATCGCGCACCTTGGCTTCGCAACATTCCAAGAGCCTACCGCTGCAGGTTCAGCATGCCCTGATCCTGATTTTTCTATTCTGTCGAACGCTAACACAGACCTCCCGCATCAGGCTGCGTGCCAGGGCCGCTGCTGGCAGCACCAGGGACGCGTTCCAGCTTGCAAGCACCTACCATGCACAACTTCTCCTTCATCGCTGGCCAGTGGCCGCAAAACTTCAGACCCAAGTCCAAGGCTTTCTACATGTTTGCGGCCTCTGCTTGCCAAAGTCCCAAGCCAGACGTGGCTCCAGTAATCAGGACTGTCTTGCCCCGCATGTCAACTTCCTGCGGAGCTGCGACCCTTGGCCAGCAATGCTACGACAATCTTCCTCCACCACCGAGCTCCTGCAGCGTGCCAACTCCTGGAGTTGTTAGCGCCTGCCATGCAACCTCAGTTGCAACCGCCACATACCGCAACAGCAAGCTCTACGGCCATGGTCCATGGTGCTCCAGAGAGGCCTCAGAACCTGGCTGCTATGGCACCCACCAGGTACGGCACGCACCTTGCAGTCGCATATTTAGGCCCTTATGGCTGAGCGCCCCTGCTTCCAAACTTGATGAGGTCGCAACATAAACCCAAAGAGGGCTTTGATCTTTGCAATTCGATTCGAGGCTTGCTTCGCCATGCTTGCAAGGTTAAAGTTGGAACTGCTGAGCTTGCTGGTGGATGACTCTCAAAGGCAAATGTATCACTTTGTTGCTGAGGGTCGTCAATATCGTTTGCTTTGAACTATTGCTGGTGAGTTCATGAAGCTTGCTGTGATCCAGCGCTGCGAAGCCAATCCAAGCATGCCAGCCATGAACTTTGCCTGACTTTAACAAATCCTCAATCCTGGCGGCTGCGCCCATTGGAGCATGGCTAGCAGCGAGACGAGAAAGGACTTCTACCTTGGTGTGACAACATGGTGCCTGAATGCGCCTGATCCAAAACCAGTTGCTTACTTACACCTCATGATCTTCCGCGTCAACGTTCTCAGTTCTGCGCTGTGGCTACGTTGACCTGCATTTGGGCTCTGCTCACGGCGTAGGTTGAGGCCTCAAATAGTATGACTATGATGCCTTCGACGATGTACAAACCATGTAGCTTTGGATTCAAAACTCCACCTCAGCGTTGAACTGAAGAAGGTGAGGTCTCGTTCTCGATGGCTGAACCTGTGCAGCAACATGTGAGGGCCCGGCGGGGGGNNACGCTCTTCAACATGACCTCAAGCATCCAGGCTCTGGCCTTCTACCTCATCCAAGCCCAAAGCATCTTGAACAGCTGCAGCTTCTTCCTACCAGAATGCCACGTTCATCCCAGCACGTCCAAACATGTCGAAACACCATTCACCAGCTCGGGGGAGACCTGCCAGCTCAGAGGAGGAAGGCGCTCCGCAGAACTCCCAGGCCGCAAGATTGGAGAAGCCTTTGCAACCCACTCTCTCAAGCTGGATGAGGTCTTCCATTTCTGGGTCACCAGCATAAAGGAAATGGACGTCAAGGGTACGTTTCTTTCTTCGTTCGAGGCCTTGGACCCAAGTGAAGACACGCTTGTGCTTCACCTGCTGGCATCGAGGTCTTGGCAGGTCAGACACGACTGTTCCTCTCGGACCTGCTGGAATGCAAACCAGAGGTGCCACTGGTTGCAAGCGTGAGGCTCCGGCTGGCGGCTGAGGCTGACTTCTCCTGGGTCTGGATGAGGGCGGTCGTCGTGTGGTGGAATACCTTGCCCATCATATTGTTCCAATCATGCCACCCAGGCAGGCTTGTTCCTGGCCTCTGCAGGATTCGCGGCTGTCGCCTGCTACGACGTCCAAGCCAGGTGACGGTGAAGGCCTGCGGGTAGTCTCACAAGATCTCACAGGGAAGCTGAAACAAAATCTTAAACGGCGGCCAAGGCCATCCCTTCAGAAACCCTCAAGTCGAGCCAGCAGAGCGCTCAAGCTAAGCCCTCCTCCGACAGCCAATGCCACGCTACCTCGCTGGTCTGTTGTCACATGCTCCGCGTCTAGCCAAGGAATAAGATGAGGCATGAACGACGGGCTGGCCCGTGCTGGACAGACACGAGGGATGTGTCACTACCTCAGCACAAGCAGTTGAAGGCTTCTTTCTCCAATGCAAGTCACCTCACACTAGAGGCTGCTGTGTGATGCAACACGTTTGGAGTCTGAGGCTCACACTCTGCAAGTTCTGCAGAACCGGACGTTGGGCCTTGGCAACTGCCAGATTGCTGGATGAGTCGTGCACATGAAGCTCTGATCCTTTCTGATCTGTAGCCGCTACTTGTGAACATGCCCTTTGCTCAAGCCAAGGCCTGTGCCAGAGGCGCAAAGCTGTGCAAAACATTGTCAGGACTCTTCGGAATAACGCCTGGCCATTTTGACAATGAACTCATGGAAGTGTAAACATGTCAATGAAGTCTTCCGCATGTTATGTTGCTACGGCCCGCCTTGAACTCCCATTTACAACTGAGACACCTATTTGATGAAGAACATGAGGGCTCAATACCCTCGGAAGAAGGATTTAGCCAGCTGAAGCTGCGGGTAATCAACAAGCAATGCACGGCCAGCGTCTGCAGTGGTAAGGCAGCCCTCAAGAAGGCATGTTTTGCGCCAACGAGAATCGCATGCAGCGTAGTGCCACAGACTCTAGCAACGCAGTGAAACAACAGCTCAGGCTGCCCGCGGAAATGAACCGCGAATTGGCAAATGAGCCTTAGACTGGCAAGCACAAGACTTGAACCAGAGCTTTTGAGCAACCACCATGAACATCCCATCGTCGGCCCCAACTTGGGTGGCTGCATCTATGTCAGTCATGGCCTCCTGTACGTCCCCAGCACGGTTGAGGTAGAGGTACCTGAATTTGTCTTTTGATCTATTCCATCACATCACTTATCACGAGCAAGACTGAAGTCGCACGTGTCTGTTCCATACTCTGGTATGGAATGTAGCTCGAGCCACCCTCCCACATAAGACCTTGAAAGAAGACATGACCTTCATGCCCCCTCTATCAGAACAGGATGAACAGGCTACATGGCCGCGCTCGGCAAGCGCTGAGCAGTAGACGCATAATTCCTGCCACGAGGACTGCGTGAACTCGCAGGGCTCTGCAATCATGCTTAGTTGCTATCCGGCCTGCTCAGTGGAAGGCCGCAACCAAAACCTGCTAGGGGCCTTTGTGGGGCATTCCATTTGCTTTGCAAGGGCTGGCCACACAATCAGGTGCTTGAGGCATCGCTTGCTGCTTTGGAGGGGCAGAGGGTGGCAGATGGCATAATGCAAGCCGTAGCTCAGCAGCGAGCGCTATGCCGCGGTCATCATCTGAATCATCATCCTCGTCGCTGTCCGCATTGTTGGATGATGACACCTCCTGTACCCGCTGCTCAGGGACACAGATGTCTCAGGACCGCTGAAGGTTAGCTGAGACAGGCAATCTGTTGAAAATTTCAGCTGCCCATGGTCCTCACATGCTGGCTTTGCTGTTGTGTAAAGGTAAGACCACACCTGCGAAGCTGAAAGAGCTACTTGCTGAAATAGATGTCTGTTGGGGTTCAATTATGTCCAGGAGATAACTTCTCGAGAAGAGCGTCGCTGACGTGCAAGGCTTGCTTATGGTGAACTGGGACATAGGCAGCAAGAATCTGAACACCTTAGAGACTTTCAACGAAGCATTTTGCTGATAGATCGAACAAACAAAGCCTGATCCATGTCATCGAGCGGAATACCTTGGCGAATCCAGTGTGGTCGAAACTTCAACGCGTCAAACATCTTGAGCACTGGGGATCTTACCACCTCCACAATCTGACCTCATCTCTGGAAGATTGTTCTTCCACGTGTTGGGCTAGCAACGGGGATTTTCATTGACCGACCTATCCTCGGCACAGCAGCGCAAGTGGCTGAGCAAAAGACACCCTCAGCACGATGGTGGCATCATCGCCACAGACTACAACGCCTGGAATTCTAGTTGTGTACAGGTGTAGCCTTATGGCACACTCGCATGTGAGCACTGAGCTGCTTGCGAATCGGGTATGCTTCCGCAGCTTCTCTCGAGCCATACCTTCAGAAACATGACTAGGAATCATTGAATCCACCGTTGAGGGGTGACGCTGGAGTCGTGGCCTACCTGGCTGCTGTTTGATCTTCCAGACTAAAAGGGCTGTCTTGTTTGTCATGGGGAAAAGAGACGAGTCTGTCCCCACCTCTCAACCACCGCCCGCAAGGAGTTCTTGATGAGTTCGAACCTGGGATGCGAGTGAGGAGGTACCAGCGGTCCATGAAGGCCATCATTTACGCAAAGCTGTGAGCCCTGGTGAAGAAGGCTTGACAACTTCTTAAGTCTGTGGCATTATGTAGTTCAGGTACTGCTTGATAAACGGAAATCGTACCTGCCCAGGACAGCGTGGGACAACGACTTTGACTTTGGCAGTTGCGGAGTGTCTGTGAGAATCTACTCCAGCATTTTGTTTGGTGCAGCTGGCAGCCTTGATGCTGTCAACATATTGCGGCATTCAGTTCTTAGCTCCATGCCTGACCAACGTCCACAATGTCTATGGGCGGGCTCCAGCCGTAGTGATGCCTGCAATGTAGAGTTGGCAATTCGGCAGAACAACTTGGATCCCCAGCGGCTTTCCTGCACAATGTTGCGGCATCACCGGCGGCGGTTCGCACCACATCGACCTGAAGACCATACAAGGGCATCAGATTGCTGGCAACATCACGCAACAGTCTCCGTTCAGGATGGGCTGTATTATTGTTGCAGTCAGCTCCCTGCAGGCATTTGCCAGGTTTACTCTTTCTGCACTGTGTGTCTGACAGGGTCGCAGTCAGGGCTGACAACTGAAGTAGGTGAATCCGGCCTGCTGCACGGCATGATTCGACACAAGTACACACCAGAAAGCCACATCAGATCCAAACGCACGCCCCCTCCACTAGCTAGAGCAAAGGTTCACTCATATTAGTAGAACCTTTCCATGAGGCAGGCAGCACTCGCCTGGTGATGGCGAGGTACTGCGAGGACAAGATGTCAGTCCCTATACGGGCGGTGAGAAACTCGTCCAGAAATCGATTAACCTGCAGGTCTCTGCAGGAGCTGTGATAGCTTCTGATAGCTTGCTTTCTGATTTCCACCACCCTGCGGCTTTGCACCTGCTCCTCGGTGAGCGCGTTTTTCGCACGCATCGTCCGAACACCCCTGCGAGGCGCACATCGACCCCTGTACTGCACTTTCGGATGGACCGCCGGCCTCATGACGTGAAACAACATGTTTGAGTTTCTGCGCTTGATGTCTTGCAGCATGCTTCTGAAGCGTTCCTGGATGAAGGCGACTTCTTCAGGCAAAGCTGCAATATTCTGCAGGGGTCCTCCTCGTCTGGAGGTACTGCGCGAAGCTTGCGAAATGCATCAAAATATAGAGAGCCTCGAATTTGCTGATTTCTGCAGCCTCTGCGCTGCACTGCAACTCGGCGCAAGTCGTAAGGTACTGACGAATCACTCGCATATGAGGAAATTCGTTCCAATGAGGAAGGGACTGAACGGTCAGCAAGCATGCATGCTGCCAAGGAAGCATCATGGATCGCACATGAAACAGAGCCGTTCATGCAATACGACGTCCCGGCTTCAATCACCACCTCTGGACAGTATGGGGGCAAAGCAAGACTCGTATCAGTGCCGGCATTGTGGCGAGATTTTTTTTCTGAGCACTCGTTCTCCTGGCAGCTTTCGCAGGCCACAGCCTGCCCCTAACGTTCGGTCATGTTGCGGCAGACATTCGGACTCCAGCGGTTGATCGTGCTGGTGAATATCCAAGGTGTCAATGAGCACGCATATTGCCGTATAAACGTTATATAGATAGATTGCCTAGATGACGTATACATAAATGTATGTATACAAGCACATACATAACTTTAGTTTGGGGGGACCATGTAGATCTTATATATACACATGCACACCGTCGTTTGCCTACCTTCTCTGTTTTTGAACGACCTTCTCCGCTTCAAATATGCGTTGTTGTGTCTGCAAGCTGTGCTGAACGACCAGCATAAGCTTGAAGTAAACCCCGCCGGCCTTGATTCTATGACGAAACCTAATCAAAACCACGAATTCAACTCAGCCCTGAATTTTGAATGGTGCTTGATTGTGTTAAAGCTAAGTAAAGAATCAGCGGACTTAAGAATTGATTCCACACACGTGTGGATGGTGCTGGAATTTACATGCATGTTAATCAAGAATTAATCGGCTATACTTTGAATTACATCAATTCATGGATGGTCCGTAATTCTATCTAATGATGGATTTAAAACTTGTGAATAAGTTTCAATCGGGACTCCAGTTTTTCATGGACAGTCTTTGGAACCATGCAGAGGTTTTCTGCTTGCTCTGTGTATACCAAAGCACTTTTGCAATTTTTGGAGAAGGGTGAAAAATGCTGTACTATCCCAAAAACATAACGGGACGCATTACAGGCCCATTTTGACACGTTCATCAAAAATGATATTTCATGACGTCGGAATGAAGCGCCGTGTTTCCTAGGTGCTTAAGAAACTACCCATGTTGCTGTTGCAGCCAGCAGTCCCTGAGCCAAAACTGTTTGATGCTATAGGACTATAGGAAGTTGTGGACAATAATCAAGATAAAGCTTCCTGTTTGAAGCGCAAACCAACCACTGGGAAAATAACTAAAAACACATCACTTCCGCGTAAAAATGAGCCTGCAATGTGCCCTACCCTCCAGAAAAACCAAGAGCACTATGCGAAGACGCTGTTCTGCCCTAGTCAAGCCAGCACTTTGGGCGTCTTGAATCCGCCAACATGTTGAAAGGATCTGAAAGGTCAAAATTCATGACCTGGCAAAGCTTGCGCGCGTGCACCAGCAGAAAAGGAGAGGGCCCATTGGCTCAGTTCAACGCTAAACGGAATTTCCATGAGCACCAATCATCTGAGACGTCATCAGAACAAGAAATATTGCCCCCAATGTAAAATGGTACTATATTGGGGCTATTGGGGGTTCACTATTCGGGGGATGGGAAATGCGGTTCACCAGAACTAGGGGGTACTTTTACTTTTTCGGGTCCCGATAACAAGGACTCGTGCTTTGGGTTTTATATTGGGGTCTCCGGTTTTTTTTTGGAAGCTACCATATAACACTTATAGAACCACAGTTTCCATTTCATCTTCCATTCTCTCTCCGCTTGATTCTCCATTATTATGGGGTAACACGCCTAAACCGTTTATATCCCTTATATCTACTTGTATAACCCGTCTATAACCCCTATATTCTATAATCACTTCGTGGAAACTACCCTGTCATCTGAGCTATAATCTAAGCTCCTAGTATCCCCCTTAAGAACCCCGAAAGTTTAAATCTTCAACCCATATAATCCTCTATATACCCCTTTTATGGGTTGACTGTACGTAGCTCATCCCGTCATCCTAAAAATGGGCCTCAATGAGCTGGACTCGGCGCGCATACCGTATTGGTAGCTCCTGGCATGGCAATTTATACAAGGATAACGGAAAGGAACATGGAAACCATTACAATGGGTTATGTAGGGATTCAGAAGTATTTATCTAGGGGTAAGGGAGTACATAATATTGGGGTATATATTCCGGTTATATAGGAAAAATGGAAACTACCACAATTTGACAATGGGTTATATAAGGGTTGAGGGGTATCTATCTAGGGGTAAGGGAATCTATTATGTTGGGGTATACATTGGAGAATATTGGGTTATATATAAGAAAAATGGAAAAGAAAATGGAAACTACCACAGTGGGTTATATAGGGGCTTAGAGGTATCTCTACGAGGGTAATGGAACATATAATATTGGGGTTATATAGGAATAATGGAAAAAAAGGAAACTACAACGGCCTATATAGGGAATTAGGGGAATTTATTCCGTGGTAAGGGAATACATATATATGTTGGAGTATAATGATCACGCCCCGGCGGCCCCCCCCCCTTCCCCCCTTGGTATGGCGGCTATCTTCAAAGCTTTAAGACAAAATTAAACTACAACCCCCCCTGTGGTCCTGTGGCCCGTGGTCTGGGTCTCGTCTGAGCTCTAAATCAGGATTAATGTACAACCCCCCACCCTTTGTGGCCTGTGATCTGCGTCTTGTAAGTTAGATTAAAGTTTGGAGAGGCTTGCATTTTTTGTAGAGGATTGACTCAGAACCTATTACCCCAACCCCCCTGTGGCTTATGGTTTGGGTCTTGTTGTTTACATTACGTTCATGGAGGGAATATACCGCATTTATAATGTTCATGGATTCATGGTTCTATAGGCTACAGTACATGCTGAAGTATCAGGATGCCTCCGAAGAAGTCCTTCGTGAGCCTCGCGCTCCCGACGAGCGTACGCTTGCCTCGATGATCCAGACCAGCGCCTACGAGAACTCCCACAACAAAACAAGAATCCGACACAGGCAGGTAATGTGCTTCCAAATTGAAGGAACTTCATGGTCGCTCGTGATACGCCTCCATAGGCAGGAGAAGGCGCTCCACCATGAATCCGGCATCAGCAAAAGCTCAGGACGCTGCCACCCATCCGCGCCACCTGCCCGATCCTTCATGTGATGCATGAACTTTTTGAGGGACTCGGCATCAAAGCTGAAGTGGAGATCCGAAAATCCATAGTTGGGGTGAGGAACTCCATGAAGAAGCTCACAAACAGCCTCAACAGAGCCGGTACCATCCGCGGGGCGCCTCTAAACCTGCGACCAGAGTGTCTCTGCTCATCCAGAATTGCAGAGGGATGGATGGGACCCTCAAATTTTGGCTCAGGAGGCAACTCAGCTCGCTGCAAGCGCCGCTGTTCAAGTCCAGCACGCCGCTTGAACCAAGCGATCCGAGAAGGCTGAGATCTGTCCAGTTTAACCTTCCATGTAGCAAGCCGGGCTTGACAAGCTCGGTTCTCGCGCTGTAGCACCAATTCACGCAGAATCATCAAATCCTATTCATCTCCAGCGCGGAGTGAAAGGTGACCAACTTCCGGCACATCAGCTATGAGCCTGCGAACAGCCTTCATGATGTTAGCCAGGAGATCCAGGTCATTAGGGCATCTGGCTCGATGTTCAACTTGCCTCATCAGTTTGCGCAACCTCCTGATATCCAGAGGTTCAGCGAGATTGGCCTGTTTATGCTGGCCCCGCTTGCGCGGCTGGGGCTCCCAGGGAAGGTGCCTCCAGGGTTCAGCACCATCTCCGAACAAGGTAACCTCAGCGAAGCAAGACACGTCTCCCACATGGCATTCACACCATGGCGCTCAGCACATTGGCATTCAGCTCCAAAAGCCTTCTCCTGGAAGTTCTCAGGAGCACCAGAGCATCCTGCCTCGTCTTGATCAAAGGGTTAATCCTCCTGGGCCCGTGAAAGGAATCAAGTAGCGCAAAGCCCTCAAGCGTGTAGCCAACAGGCAAATGGTCACCAACGCCGTCCACGCGACGCACTAGAGAAGCCCGAGCGTGGGGTCCAGCCAGCCCAAAATTAATGCAACGCACTCTTCCAGGTCGTGTAGCTGGAATCGCAAGTGAGGAAGCATCATACAGGTTGTACAGAAGTCCATTCGCAAGGAGAGACAACAGGTGACGCACACAAATTAAAGTCTCCAAGCAGCACCCGCGGCAGGCCAATCTCCGTGAAGTTGCTCGCCACTTCCCGCAAGAGTCCGGAAGTCCTTGCTTCATTGCCCACGTAGCCGTAGCGTGCCCCAATCACCAGCCTGGCTCCGTCCGAGCACAGCTCCACAACACCCGCCGTGAATCGAAGCGAACCAGAACAATCAAAACTGATTCGCCGAAGAGACAACTTGGAAATCAAGCAAACTCTGTACTGTCGAAACTGGGAAGATAACATGGAAGCCACACCTCTGCCAGTAGCTGACAAGTGCAGCCTTACACCCAGCAAAAATGTTGATCATGCTGAGCAAAGCGGCACTGCCATCTCGCAACAGCGTTGCCCTTACGCTTGCGAGTTAGGAATTTGGGATTCCAGTTGGAGTGGCCCACCTGGCCCTTGCCACCATAGCGGCTTCGGATACGGCTGTATCTCGCCACCGCAACCTGCCGAGCTGCCGCGCTGAACCTTGACAGACGTAGGTGCACCACTTACATGGCCAGCAATGCAAAGCGCCAGATGAAGCAAACGGGCCAGTCACTTCACTCGCCGACTCGCCAATCTAGGTACAGAGGGCCAGGCTTCAAGGGTTGAAGACAACTCTTGCACAGATCCTGTCCCCAAAGTGCTCGCTCTGCTTGAATGCCAACTGATCGCCGCTGACGTTTGGCAGCACTCTGGTTATCGACCTTGGAGGGGCCATCGCCAAGTTGGCACGAGTCTGCCATCTAGGTATTTGACACGAGTTTTGTGTTGGTTAACAGTCAAATTATAGATTGGTCACAGTTTAACTTCATGTGGTAATAATCTGACTCGATTTGTATGGCATGTAGTTTTTTATCGTATTTCCGCAAATTTCATTCCACTTATTGGTTGAAACCGTTCTGGGGTTTTAAGTTTTCTCTGAATATCTGTAAACATTGCCGACATCAGGAGTGTAAATAGACATGGTGATAGAGGACACCCTTGTCGAATCCCTGATTTTTGCGACCTGGTCTCTGAGAAGCTGCCATCAACACAAATTCGAAACTGTGGGGAAAGCACGTGTTGGCAATTACTTGCAGGATGCTTGTTGGTACTTTCAGTCTACGGAGCACTTGAAGAGCTTTGTTTGGTTCACTGTGTTGAATGCTTTCTCTCAGTGTATTGGTATAATTGATAGGTTAAAGCTCTGTCTTTCCGCAAAATCGCCTTGCTATGAATATAGCTTGTGTTGTAGACTTCTTTGGTCTCAAGCCATATATAGTTTTTTTGTATCCATGGATCGTACGCTGCTATGAAGCGTGCACGTATTAGGCTTGCTAGAAGTTTGTAGAATACCTGCAGGAGCGCAATTGGCCTGTACTTATGCATTTGAGTTGCGTCGCCTTTTTTATGAACAGTCACTAGGTTAGCTTTCTTGAAGGAATGTGGATACATGGTGTGTTGTAAAACATCGTTGTAGAGCGCCGCTAGCAATGAGTTACGATTTTCGTTGCTGAGCCATGTCACTACTTCTGCTCTACATCCACCTGGACCGGGTGTTTTGTTGTTTTTTTGGGCATCGATGACTTCATCGAGCTCTTGCATTGTAAACGCGTCGTTCTTCATGTTTGTATGTCCTTCTATGGCGACACTTACGAGGATGGAGGCTTTGAGGCGTCAAAAACGACCACAATTACGAGGATGGCGACCCCGATAACCGCCGATAACCCATCCCTGTGAGTGTCAGCACTTTTGAAGCATACCTTAACAGTCGGTGGGGGGATAACCCCTATATACATATATATGTATACCGGAACCCCTATATAAACCCTACATAACCCATTGTAGTAGTTTCCATGTACTTTTCCATTATTGCTATATAACCCCAATATGACCCCAATATATACCCCAATATTGTAGGTTCCCTTACCCCTAGATAATCGCTGTAATCCCTGCAGTTTCCGTTTTCTTTTCCATCACCCCTATGTAACCCCAATACATGGTCCTGTGCTCTGCGCTCCTAGCCCCCCCACCCCCAAATGGTTATTGGGTTGATATAGGGGTAATGGAAAAGAAAATGGACACTACTACATCATAATAGAATATATATATATACATACATATATGTATATATATAGGGGTATATAAGGACAATGGAAAAGAACATGGAAGCTACTATATCCTATATCGGGGTTATATAGGGATAATGGAAAAGAACATGAAAACTACTACATTATCATAGGGTATATATTGGGGTTCAGGGTATTATTCTTACTGCGGGCTGGCAGGGACTACATAATCCCCATATTATATATTCCCCTCTTGCTTACTCAGCACCAGTAAGATTAGTAGTACTAGTATTCTTAGTATTCTTCATGCGTGCTTCATACTTATGAGCATTACTATTATCTGCTTTAGTACTATTGCTAATAGTACTTAGTACGAGCCTCCAGCAAGAACTCGCGTAAGCTCTTTGCATCTCGCAAGTGAAGGATCTGCTGAAGGGTCATCTGGCAGGTGATCAGCCGCTGAGGATATCTGCCATGCTATTCACCTCAAACTTGCAAGGCGGCACTGGGTGGGGCCGCAGCGCCCTAGCAAAATGGACAACCTCTGATTCCAACAGCTCTTCAAATCGCTGCTTCGAAACCTGGCACAGGAGCCAAGGCACAACAACAGGACAACTGGACTGCCAACGCCTCAATCGTGCCAGTTGCCAAGTGCGACGACGTGATCGAAGGAAAAGAGGGTGTGAATGATGGTATCGACCGTACCGGGGCAGCCGTTGGGCATGACAATTGCCTGCATTCATCAGGAACTGCGAAGAATTGTGGAGGGTGCTCCAGCCTCAGAAGTCTGAAGGCTGCTACCTCATCATGCGACTGATGCTGACGAAGCAAAAGCCATGCCAACACCCAGAACCCTGCCCTGCTGTTATGGCCCTGGCTCGCCCACACTGAAACCGGCTGAGAAGAGGCATGCTCATTGGACTAAGGCAGTTCACCGAGCGTCATTGAAACGCTGGTCAAAAGGATGGGCTCAGGTCCATCTTTGCTGCTGAGCCAGACATGGGAAGTGTAAGATGCCTGAAAGAGACATAGCATGCGGAAATAAAGAGCTGGAATTGTTCCAGGGGCTGAGGACATAGAAAGCAAAAACACGTACTCAAGCTTGAAAGGATTTGTGATTGATAAGGCTTGCGGGCAAGGCATGATAATGGCAAACGGAAATGCTTCTATCAGGCCATGAGCCGGCCTCATGTGCAAACTGAACGACTTGCTCAGACTCTTTGTTCCAACCGCTTGGAAAGGCAGATTTCGTTGGCGAATTCCAAAAAATCACAAAGATACGCGGAACTCCCGCGTGCGTGGCCTTCTTGTGATGTTGCGCTTCCTCAAAACCAGCTCACTTTGGCTGTCCGCAAGAGGCGTGCGTTTCCGTTCACTTGTGAGGCCACCATGCAGTTGTCAGCTCATCATTGTCACCGACAGCACTAGAATGTCATTCTTGCCACAGTGAGGCTGCATGTCTTTGAGGATCTTACCTGCAAGTCGAAGCTTCCATATCTCCATCAAGAACATGCAGAGTAACTACACACCACTCAATCTTTCTAATGGTAGCTTCCTCTGCCGACTGCCACATATATGTCTAATCAAGTTATCCTCTGTCGCTTAGGACGCTGCCAATCAACCAGGGAGCACTTGTCTGCTTCCTGGTGCATAGGCCGGGTTGCTCCTGGTGCACAGCATAGGCAGGTCAAGTCGCTACTCATCTTTGTAAGGAAAATGAATAGAGCTTTGGAAAGCAGACTTGCCGCAAGTGGTGCCGTAGCTCATATTTCGTATGCAGGACATGTGAAACGATGAGGTGGCCCCTTGATTTGGGTGCCTCGCAGTTCCATGAAAGCAATGAGTGCAAGCAAATCTACTTACTTGGGAACCCGGCCGGCATTGACGACTTGTGAGGGTTCGAAAGCAGATCCATGCGAGGCAGGCCTAAAACAGCTGTTCCGATAGGATCAAGACACGTTTGCTCTGCGCTGTATTGACCTGCTTTCAATTGTGTCGCGGAACTGTGCTGCTCGTGCAGACTTGCGGTTCTGGTGCCTGTCTGAGGTCAGAACAAAGAAGTCACCATGAAGCTGCCCACGCTGATGTGCTGCCTAAGTCCCATGAATGTGATTTGCAATCCACTGCAGCTGGTCTATGCGGATCTGCTCCAAACATCCTCCATCTTGCTACCATCCCCAGATTTCAGCAGGCTGTGTGTGTTTACGCCCGATTCGCCGATCATCTACCAAAACATGAATGTATATATTGCTAGGCCCTCCGAAGGCTTAAGACTATCAGGATTTGCCGAAACGCTTCCGCTCAAAAATTGCTCAAGAATAGGCTCGGCTGGTCTACAAGACACTTCAAAAATGGGTTTGGTTTGTCCTCAAAGCTGCTCAAAAATAGGCTCGACTGGTTTTAACAATAGGTTCGGGTAGTTCTCAGTAGTTCTCAGGATTACTCCAAAAATGCGTTCGGCTAGTTGTCAAGACTCTTCACAAACAGGTTCGGTTGGTTTTCAAGCTTGTTCAGAAATAAGCGGCTGGTTTTCAAAACTCGTCAAAAATGGGCTTGGCTGGTTTCAAGACTCATTCAAAATGAGCTCGCGTGGTTTTCAGGATTCATCAAAAATGGGCTCGGCGGATTTCCAGGACTCGTTGCGTGGATCATACAGGCTTCCTAGTCTGCCGGAAAATTGGAAAATTGGCTCAGCAGGGGCTCAGACCAGCTGGAAAATAAGCTCCCCAAGCTCAGGTTTGCGGGAACATGTTTGCAGCATGTTAACAAACAGGTTCAATTGGAGTGAATCCAGAAGTTGTTCTTGTCGGCTGGAAGAGTAGGTAGGTCTAGGTGCCTGCGGGTTTTGGTTGACGTCTGCTGAGATTCAGATTCAACGGCATCGACCAGCTGCCATAAGTCAAGTATCCCTGCAGTTGGCTTCCCCCTAACATGGCAGCGCGGTATGACAGAATATATGATGTGTCGTAAAAAGTGTCTCTCCAATCTAAGGAAAAGGTTTGGCATTTGTTAACTGCTTGGTTTCATCGTATGTTTGAAAGCCCCCTCAAAACTTCCCACTTTTCAGTGACACAAAACTGGCGGCTTCACCAACCAAAGTGGCAGAAGGGTTGGCGGATTTGCGAAGTGATCGCAGCCAAGGACATGGCGGACAGTTGCTCCATCATTTTGAGATGACAGCAAGTTTCGGACTCAGAGGCTGACGCCTACTTCTGCAAAGCACTGAGCACGCAGCCTCATTCTTGGGGCTGAGGTTAGAACAAACACCGACAAAGTCTGTGAATGCGTGGGCGCTTGAGCCCCCATCTGTATCATCTCAAACACTCTCAACCAGCGGACCAGTTCCAACCAGTCCTGATTAGGTCCACCCTGTCCCGACCACTTCCAAGCAGTCCCAACACAGACCCGGCCAGTCGACCAGTCCGACCAGTTCCCGACCAGTCCCGACCAATTCTAAATTCCCCCTCGCTTCATGAATGCGACTGTACAGAACCCTCGGACGCGGAACCAGAACTCGCAGCCCACACCCAAATCATCCAGCAATGTAAGGACCGAGTTTCCGCGCTTTGCAGAACGCAAGAAAATATTGAAGTCATTGCCTATTGATTTTTGAATCGAGGTGTGCATAATCTATCAACGCAAGGCTCAAGACATTGACTTTAGCCCTAATCACGTCATTTTTTGGCATTTAGTTCAAGATGACTCAGAGAATGGAAGCCTCAAGGGCCCACATCAAAGGCGAAGAAAGTCATGACTCCAACTTGTTGGGAAAGTATCCTCATTTCATCCAGCGCCTGACCCACGTCCTAGCCCAGATCCCGAGATCATCCAACCTGGTGGAACAAGCCACGTGGCGCTTGCTGGTGTCACAAGAAAAAACGCAACCTGCATCGCCGGTCGTCAACGAAGGAGACCACAGAAAGGTCGTCCGCGGCAACATAAGCAGCCCATCCAGTCACTGAGGTAGCTGCGAAAAGGTGCGAAGACGTAAGGGGCAGCCCTGCGCCAGCCTTTTCGAGGTGCGCTACCACATATAATGCCAAGCATACCCCCCCACGGAGAACAAGCGGCGCTGCTCCTCATAGAAGCAGCTCACGAGCCCACCCAACTAAGCAAACACACCGAGGCACTACATCGCTGCGTCCAAATGCGAGGGCAAGATGGAATCGAAAAACTTGGCTAAGTCCTGTGCGCAAGAACGATGTTGGCCTGATCAACAGCAGACAAAGTCTGTGCCAGAGCGTCCTTGGCGCGCTGTTCAGAAAAAACTCCCAAGGCACGGTGATCCATCACTGCGAATCTGCGAAGCCTCCTTAGACAAGGCCAGTCTCTCAGCCGAAGTGCTCCACATGTATCTGTCGTCGACGAGTGAAACCACGGAGAGGCCGTCCGCGGCAACAAAAGCAGCCCATCCAGACGTAATGGTGGCCGCCAATAGCGGTTCAGGGGACATCCCTGCGCCAGCTGGTACGGTGCCATGTAGTGCCAAGCATACCCCCCACAGGGAACAGTCGGTAGTGCGCCCCGTAGAAGCACTGCACCAGCCGACGGAGCTTGGCGGCGCACCAAGGTGCTGCATAGCTACATCCAAGTGCGAAGGCAGAATGGAATCAAAGAACTTGGCCAAATCCTGGGCAATTACTATGTTGTCCTGCTCAAGCGCACGCAAAACTTGCGCCAAAGCGTCTTTGACACAACGCCCTGAGAGGCCTCCTAAACTACGGTGATCCATCCACTGCGAAACCCACTGACGTATATGAGCACACAGGACTTTGGCACCTATGTGCCACCCAAGGCACAGCACAGACAGGGGCCGATGGCCGTCAGCAGGTTCAGGAATCAAAGCCACGCGAGCGCGGCCAGCATTTTGGAACAGTCTCCAATGCGGAAAGCGGCCTCGGATGACGAAACGTTCCTGTTAAGGCGATTTTCAAAAAGGTATAGCGCCTCACTGAGGAAGAGTCCGCAAAGGAACACTACCAGAATCTCCTGGAAGCACATCAATCTGTGGCAGAGCGCGATCAAGCATGTGAAGAAGAAAACAGCTCCCAAGCCACGACGCAAACCCATGACCTTTTCGTACCGCGTCAAGAGGCGGGCATGCACGGAGGACAGTCCGTCCAGCAGGTAGGTCATGCGCATGCTGTGTGTATACTATACTGATAGGTTTAGGGGAATAGGTGTGCCCCTGCGTTTTTGCACTTCAGCAGTCAGTTCATGAGCACCATCCTTTAAGGACTAGTACTCTTGCGCCTCAAAATTCAGTTCATGAGCATAATCTCGAAGGAATGCCACTTCGCAAGTTTCTCATGATGTCTTCAATGAGTTAATATAGGATACCCTAGGTAATACTCTATAGAATACCCCATATACACCTTACTACATACCCTTAGCCTATAGAATACATTGTAAATATAGAATACCTCACAAAAAACCAGCTAGATACACCTTACAGAATACATTGTGGAGTACTTTATATACAGCCTCTATTATACGTTATAGAGTACTGTATACAATACCTCCCATATTCCCTATGTATACTTTACATAATATTATCTGGAATACTGGAATACGCTAAAGAATGACTTATAGAATACTCCTTGTATATGTCACCCCCTGAAGATCTTATATATATATATACCCTACAGAATGTCCTGAGGAGTACCCTGTAGATAAGGGTTTATATATGGAAAATCAGGAGTGGCC